CCCGGGGGGCAAAATTTTGGTTTGGGGAAAAAATTGGGGGCCATTTTTTTTGGAAATTTTTGGGTGGGGGGGGGGGTTTTTCCCGGCCCCCCCGGGGGTTTTTTTGAAGGGGGGGGCTTCTTCCCCCAAAAAAAATACAACCCCCGGGGGGGGGGGTTCTGGGGCCCCCTTCGGGGGTTTTAAAACCAAGGGCTTTTTTGGGGGGGGAATTTCCCTCTTAAAACCCCGGGGGGGGGGGCTTTTTTTTTTTTTCCCCCCGGGGGGGTTTTAACCCCCCCCCCCCCCCCCCCCCCCGTTGGTGTCATTAATTTGTTTCGCTTTGATGGCCGTAGGTACATGGGCGCTCCGACAGGGGTGGATGCAGAGGCGATGCGGTTACAAAACGAGGAGTTCAAGAGAGAGAATGAGGAGCTGAGATCGAAGTTGCAGAGCCTCACCGAAAAGGTGAACAAAAAACACAATATTCTAAGCAGGTTTTTTCTAAGTATGCAAACATACTGGATAAAGTGTAGAACTGGGGAAGTTGGGTTAGGGTTAGGGTTAGGGTCTGCGTGCCCCCAGCCTGGGTATTTTTCGTAATAATGTAACCGTACTTTGTTTGCGTCGGCAGTCCGAACACGTTTTTGAATCTACAGCTGTAGTAAAAGCGTTTGCTCATGCCATGTGTAACGAGTGATGTCCAGAAGATGATGTAAACACACACACACCATTGCTGTCTTTCAATCCGTAGGATAGCATACCCTCGCCCGTGACACCCCCTCACGGCGTCCCCGATCATGGTAGGCTTTCGAAGCGTTTTGTGTTTTAACCGCACTGAGACGGACGTATTTTCATTGGTCAGCCGGTTGGCGCATTCGATGATAATTACAGTAGTGATGACACGTTGTACACCTGTGGCCTTGACTACTGGTTGAGAACATTGTGCCGGCTACGTCCGACCAGACGGTGGGCGCGCCCACGCGGTATGTTGTACAGTAGTAAAACGTAGCTCGAAGAAACTGATGTGGATATCGCTGCTTGTCACGAGCGCGCGCGGACAGTAATGGCTGGGTAGGTTGCAACCGACGACACAACCTGACTCCCACCGCCCAGTAAGGTTTCATGAAGTAGTTGGTGGCGATCTTGCATTTCACTGGTGTGGTTCTGCGGAGAACGTGCGTCTACCACTTTAGACCCGCTTTGTGTGTTCAGTTCTCAAGAGTGTACCCCCCCCCTCCCCTTTTACGCATCCTACAGATGACCGCGGAAGTGGACGCATAGCTCGATGCGCAACTGCGAATTTCGAATCCGAAGGCGGTGGCAAAACCGCTCACCCCGGGAAACTATTTTTTGTTTCGCCGGGGCATCATCGTCGTCATCGTTGCCGTACAAGCGGGCCTGCGAGGCCGGGGCGCCGTGGGTTATCCCAGGAGGCGGGGGGGGGGGGGAGGGGGTTCCGCTGCCCGCGAGAGAGCAACGCACGAGCGGTTCGTTGCGGGGGCAGTGACGCGCGTTTTCTTTGCCGAAGGTTGTCCACAAGCTCGAGGGCGGCATGGTGCCTGGAGATAGAGGAGCGAGAGAGGGGATACATGGAGGCACGAATCCTCCAGACCACTAGTAGGACAAACGAGTGTGTGGTTTTCCCCTTTTGGGATGTGTGCATCGTATGTACTGCAGGCGAGGAAAACACGAACGCAGGGTAGGCACCCGCCGGCTTTACGCCTAGGTGCGCTGTGCTGCTGCGGGGTCGTTGTAGGAAATCGAGCGAGGGGCATTTCGGGGGAGGATGTAAGAAGGGGGGATTGAGGGGCTGGGGCACAGCAGCTTGTTGCGTCGCCCGCATGCTACGGTTAATTGGTTTTATTTTTAACACAACTGACGTTTAAGAGTGGAATGGAAGGAAGGGTTTTGGTCTGCACAAAATTGCGCAGCAGGATTGCCTCCGAACCACTTCCCGCTCGCTGAGTTTCAACTGCGACGATAGATGCCATGTGAAAATTGGGGTTGCGCTTGGTGGCGGCGGGAGACGTCGGGGGGGCGGGGGGGGCGGCTGAGGGAGCAAACCGGGTAGCCAAGTAGAGATGACGATGGTACTCCTGCTGATGTCCCCCCTCGTTTTGGAGCAAAATCTGCTCCAGCGGCGGCCGCCGGCCGTCACTCTAGGGGCGGTTGAGGCAAGAGTGTGTTGGTGTAAAAAGAGAAGAGAGGAGGGTTGGTCGGCCTCCCTCGGGGGACAGCTGCGATAGAATGGCGTTTCTGTCGGCCCGGGTGTGTGCCAGCCAGCGACACGATGCCTTCTCCTTCGGTTCAACAGATACAATAAGTGATATAAAAGTGGTTCACGGTATATGTGTAGGTAGCATGGTGTGGGGCTCGGCGCCTGTTTATACCGAGCGGCTCGGGCAGACGGGGGCCGCGTTTTCAAGCGCCAGCCCATGGACGCTGCTCCAGACGCTCCCTTCACAAAATCATGTGCAGTGATCACGGGGTGACGGTCCACCTAAGGCCCCGATCAACGCGGAATATTTCTGTTGGTGGTCCAATCGCCATGCGCTCACCACCTATCGTGTAAAAAAAGAGGGTTCTCAGCACGAAAGGAGAACGTGTCGGAAGCACCCCGAGAGCATTGGAAACACCCCCCAACGTGTCGTAAATGCCCCGAATAACGGGCGAGAGAACTGTCAATACATGCACAACTCTGCTGGCCTTAAAAATAAGATAGAGTTGCGTTCACCTGGTTGGCTGCTCTCGACATCTCGATGCCATCGGGAAAATGCCCAAAAAGGAGCAACAAAAAAGCCCTTTCTTGCCTCCCTCGCTCCCAGGAAAAAAAAAAGGACGCAAGATCATCGGACCCAATCATATACGCTTGCGTGCACTGCATGTACGGGGCTACTACTTGTAGTTGTCTCGTGAAAAAATATATCAAATCAGGTTGGCATGTCTTCTGCTCAAGGAACAAAAAAAAAAGAAGCAGAACAACAAATTCACATTTAACGACAGGGAAAAAAAAAAAAACACGCTGCTGTCACCCGGGCGAGCAACTGGCCAACGATGTTGCCGACGAAAGTACTCGACATGACCTTTCTCCGTTGCCCCATAACCTCAAACTACTAGGTAAGGGAAAGATCACGCAACGAAGGAAAAAAAAATGCCGTAAAAAGGACTTCTTACACGCGTCAGTGTTACCTGCCACCCCCACGGCAACAGCTACACCCACCACGGTGTCCACAAGATTTACGAGAGGCGCCAGTTCAGTCGGCCGTGGTTTGTCAGACCTAAAACGCAGCAACACTTCTTCTGTACCACATGAGCCCCCCCCCCAATCCAAAGGAACTCCATCCCCGTCACGCAGCGTATAGCAGAGATCTCGAGCGTTTCGCGCTCCATCCAGTCATAAGACCCGCCGCACATAACATGTCAAAAATACGTGCTGACAGATCCGAAGACACCCCCTCACTCACCCCCTGCGGTGATAACACTACCACACAGCACAAGGCTGCTGTCTACAAAGTCCTCGAAAATGAAAATCTCGATAGAAATTCCCCACGTCTTCGCGAACTCGCGAGGGCAGGAGCTGCGAACAGCCTGGAAAAGGCGGTGAGAACAAGTCATCTCGCGCCCCGATACCCGCGCGCTTGCCTCCCCCCACGCAGAGCTTCCCCTCTGCCCGACTCGGTGCACCCAGCAAGACCTTCCGCGCGCGCGCGGGGGCGGGTGGAACGCCCCATTCGCGGTGTAGTGGCGCCCCCTTTTGCTGCACTGCACGATACGACACGCGCTAGAACTCCGTCCCCTCCGACGGCTGCTGAAGTCGGCGGTTCGACGGGCTGGCCATCTCGTTCCTCAAGGCCACCAGCACCTGACGCATTCACAACCAAACGTGGTTGGTACACAGGCACCGACGACGAGTTGAGAAACGTGACAAGGTTGGGGAGAGGGCTAGGCGCGCGCGTCATTCGGGCGCGCGCCCGCAAGAGACATTTTTTTAATCGAGAAACACCAAGTATCCAGAGAACGCGAGGCGCCGCAATGTGGAACTAAATACTAGGACATGAAACTGCATTGGCAGTTGACAATGTCGCGGTTGCCAGGAAGCATCGTTTCCACGTGTAACGCTAGGAAAAATAAAATACTCAGAAAGACTACCCGTTCGAGATATATACCCACAGTCGAACGGGATGTGGTGGAGTCTTTTCAGTGAGCGTAGGAACGTGTAGGAGAGAGAGAGGGAGAGAGAGAGAGAGAGAGAGAGAGAGATGCGGCATGACTTCTAGGATGACAGGATGTCTTTGTCTATTTAGGTCAGTCCCTGAGTAAAAGAAAACATGCCGTGGTGTGCTATCCAACGCCCTTGCTTTTCGGGGGTTACGAAAGAACCAAGAGGGATTTTCATAGAACAAAACAAAATTCCCCCATTGACGAGGGTTTCCCGGCACCCCCACTCCAAGGCACGTATGTGGGGGCCAACCCGCCCTGTTCGGGGGTTGTGCCCCCGGTTCAAATTCCCTTTCCCCGGGATAAAGGGGTTCTTGGGGGGGGGGGGGGGGTTCTTCCTTCAAAAGGTAGAGGATTGGAAGGACGTAAGAGTACAAAAAGGCGAGGGCGTGGCGCAACAAATCGAAAAAAAGTACGACGACTCTTGACTCATGGAAACCAAAGCAAGGAAGCAACATTCCTGTCAAACCTCTCTGCCCCTCCCACCCTTTCCAAGTTGGTCACCGCAGGTGGATGATGGCAGGCGGGAGGGAGCTCCAACACAATCACAAAATATCCACAAGACACGGAAAGAAAAAATCGAAGGCCAAAAACTGTTGGAGGCGGCTCCAGCGGGAGGAGCACCGACCGTCGTTCCGGCTCCAAAGGGTCGTACGCTCAACTCCGTGGGTCAATGGACTAGCGCAAGCAATAGGATAGTGATTCTTTCTTTCCCCACGCCCACCCCCCATGGTGATCGAGTGACTAAGTCATGCGTGGCCACTAGCATCGCCCCCCCGGCAAACACATGGATGACGACCAGCTTCTGGTTCATCCTTGACAAAAGAAGCCTGGGTCGGCGAAGTACCCCCCCTCCGGCCGCTCATAAGTGGACTGTTTGTCAACGTTAAGAAGAGTGCCGTCATGGTATGCAACGCATGATATGCAACGAGGCCAGGGAGAAAACCGTAAGAGTATAGATGGAAGTGGGGGGTCGAGGAGCTTGCAGTAGTGGATCCGCCACATAGCTCGAAGTAGAGATCGCAAAAAACTGCTCCTGGAATGCACACATGTCCAAGGTAGCGGAAAAGGGCAAAGCACGAGCAGGGAAGCTGTACCCAATACTCGAAAACCGGCACCTCGATACACTCATCAAAATGACAGTTTTGAAGAGCGTAGTCGTTCCGCCGCTAGAGTACGCCGGACAAGTATGGGAAGGAAAAAAGAAGGTAGTCAAAGAGCTCGAGGCGGCGCACATGAAAGCGGGAAAACTATAGTGTTTGTAGTGGCGGAATGTCCGTTGTACAAGAAGGAGGGGGAAATGTACATGACTGATCTGGGAAAAGTAGAAGGAATATACAGGGAGGTGTTTGAGGCACGGAATAGGAAGCAGAAGACGGTAGCGGTACTGGGACACAGGAAGTGGGTTAACAGGCCGGAAGTGATATCGATAGGATAGATACACTTTGAGCCACCTTTGGCAAAGTAGGAAGGAAAGATTGGCCATCGGCTATCGGTCCTGTGGGAATAATGCTCCGTCCTCTCGAGGACGCGTGGTCAATGGTCTAACCACGAAGGCATGCAAAACATGAGAGTACGCCCCCCCCCCCTCTCCCCTGCCGCCGGCCTACGGCAAAACCGTCTGTCACACCTGCTCGATGCCATAATTCCTGTTCCACTGTGCCAGCACGGGAAGCTTGTTCCGGAAAACCTCCCCGGATCTTTGGTCGACGCAACCCATGTTGAGCTTGCTCACGAACCGCACCACCGGGCAGCGGTCGGGGTATTCCTCGCCGCAGTGTATCCTCAAGGTGTACAACCGCCCCTCGTGCTGGGTCTGGCGTGGGGGGGGTGGGGGGGGTGGGGGGGGGGTTGGGGGGACGGGTGTCTTGCCTGCCACGAAAACAACGCGAACGCTGACCACGCATCTCAGCATACGCGGAAAACCGTTCCAGCAACGATTGGAGATTTACCGCGAAAGGCCTAGAAGGCGAGTTATTAGTTAACAGTCCTGCCACGACTGCATGCACGCCCAAAGTGTTCACTCAAACGAAAAATATGTGGTTTAACAGGAGGCACAGGGCGTGCTCTCTATGCCGAAGGCTTCCTCCCGTGAAGCCGGCAAAGTAGAGGCCTCCTCGAGGACAGAGGTGCTCTGCTCTGTGTACGGTGGGCTTTACGCCTGGTACCCCATGTCCGAGCTTTTGAATCTGTTGGGTGGGCTTCCGCTGGTGCTGGCTTGATCGAAAACTGGTGGGCACTACGCCTTGTATTCCAGGAACGAGCTGTTGAGTCTGCTGGGCGGGCTTCCCGCTGCTAGAATACTTGCGAAATACTCGAACGTTCTGGGCGGCAACAGCAACGGCAGCAGCTTTTTGGGTACAGCAGCAGCAGCAGCTTTGCGTATAGCAACAGCAACAGCAGCAGCAGCAGCAGCAGCAGCAGCAGTCTCAGCAGCTACAACGCACCCCGTTAGGCCCGAGGATGGTTCCGTTCCAGTCAGTCATGAAAATGTCGTCCCCGTCCACCAGCCCAAAGCTCACGCTGTGATCCCCCACTCCCTTCTCCCCCTTCTCTAGCTCCTCCAACAGTTTGAAGTTGCGAGGCACTGAGTATAAATATGGTGGTGGCGAAAGGGCGGGTGTTATCAGAGACTTGCAGAAAACGGCCTAATTTTGCAAGAATTCTTCAAGCATTTCTGCAACCACTGCCTGTCCATCAGCATGCGCAGCAGCTTTGCAGCTGCCCGAGGCACAGCGGACAGGACCCGGCGGGTGACTGACTATCTCCGGCGCAGGTCGGTCGGGGCAACCGAACCCCTGCAACAGCGGCAGTAACGGATGCTGTTTGGGGGGGAGAGTACTCGAGGTCACCGCAGCCGCAGCACAATCTGAGGCTATTGTGAAGAAACCAGGGATGATTCCACTGGCTTTTGGCTTCTGACAAAGCGGTCTTTCAGCAGAACAAAGGATAGGGCCCTTCATCCTCCGGAGGCCCCACGTGTGGTACAGCAGCAAATACAAATGCTGCATACTATTACTGCTGTGATGCGCTATAAGTCTCTTCGGGCTTTTAGCGCTTCATGTAAGGGCACGGTAGATACGAAAGATCTAAGTTGTTGTTGGTCAGCTCGGACTGTTTGACTTGTTGCGCACGGCGAACAAGCCTACGTGCCGTGGAACAAGCCTCCGATAGCTCTGCCAGAGTAGCTGTAATGGTTAGGGCGACATTTATTTGCCGTGGACAGCAGCAGCAGCAGCAGCAGCAGCAGGAGCAGTACTTGACTGCTGCACAGACGAACAAATAACTCATGCCCACACGGCACCCCAAAAAACGCTCGTCGATGATTTGTCTCGACGCTTACCCCCTCCCCAACGAGCGTGTCATGTACCTTACCCAACACACCCAACACACAGCACCCGCTGCTAATGTACCGTGACTACTGCAAGAGACACCGTCCTCAGCAGCACCAGCCGCCGTCGGTGATGACAACAATCAATGTACACGATCAAATTTTGATCCTAAAAATAGAGCGCGAATCAACCTTCGAGATGGTACGAAGTACATCACACCGGAGAGAGGGCATCGCAGATACAGAGGGCGGCAGAGCTTTTGATCTACGCGGGGACTCCCTCCTTAGAAGGAGCGATCGGCGTGAATCTCAATCCCCTCTCGCCCTCTGGTGCACACGTGCACACCGCAGCTGGGAAGCAAAGCACGTCGAAGCATGCTCTCGGGAAGTAACCAAGGAAAAGGGTGGCGTGTGGTTTCTTCTCTCTCGCTATTTTCTACAAGGATTGGGGGCACCATACACCATTTAAAACTCACCCATGATGACCTCTCCAGTCGCCGTCGTCATCATGATGGTGCCGGCGTACTAGCTTTGCTCGTTGCTTACCTCTGTGTGTCGCGCGCGGAAGGTTGCGAGGGTCTTTGTTGTCTTGAAAACGCGCGCACAGGGTTTGGTACAGAGCAGCAGCGTGTTTTATTGCGGAGAGATCAGGCCTCATGCGCGCGCGCATTGGTTGGCAAGGATCCAAAGGGCGAGGCAGAGGCGAGGTACGCATAAATACGTCGATCCTCCTGGCGCTCTGCTTCCCGCTTCCCACTACCCACGCCCTTGTGTGGCAGCGAGATAGAGAACGAATGGGCAAAGATGAACTTCGACAATGGCAATGGATTGTCAGGGCGCTTTGGTCGGCTGCGTCGAAAATGGCTCTCGGCGACGCCCACCAGCAGCAGCGGCATGGACAGGGTGCCGGTGAGGGTACTGCTGCAGGAACGCCCGCCGGCCTCTCGTCGAGGAGACCGATGTGTCAACTCCAGCTTCTTGTACCCGACACGATCTTGTTCGAGCGGGGTGAACCCTGCAAATGGATAGGATGTTCCCCAGAAGGCATCGTGGTACGAAAGTCGTTCGTCCGAGCAGCAGCAGCAGCGTCGACTAGGTCTGGCTCGTCAACTTCGTCCACCGTCACCAGCTCCGTTGCAGAAACTTCGACGGCAGCAGAGATTCGACACGCAACGCTTGTGGAGAAAACCGGCCTCAGGTATCAGCCATCGTCGTCGGGGGCCATGGACGAGGTCGAGGTAATGGAGCGAATGGACATGGTACTTGCGGCGTTGTCGTCGTTTGCCGCAGGTGGTACCGGGTCGCTCTCAACGTCGTCGCCATCGGCCGCGGGCACGGGCGGCATGGACAGGAACTCGCCTGTGTGCGTCGCGAGATACAACGATGGTACGATGGAGTTTTTGTCCGAAACGTCCCTACGAGCTTTAAGCAGTTTTTACAACTGGCGGGCTTCCTTGTGTGCCCTCCAGGCCTACGTTCGTCCTTCGACGAGCACGTGGACGAGGACGATCGGGACATACGTTAGACGCGATGAGCAACCCAACAGCACTCGTGCCCCCGAGCTTCCGAAAACAACACGCGACGAGAGTCATGTAGGGCCTGAACCAACCACCGACTTCAATAGCGGGTGCTCTTATGCTGGTGACGACGAGCCCCGTCGCGATAAACACTCGACGATGCGGACGTTTTCGTCTGTCGTTGCTGCTCCATCCGAGGCCTCATCAACTGCAAGCCCAGGGGCGATGATGGCGGCGGATGGTGGTACTCTCATTGGTCCAGCCACCCAGGCGTCGGCGGCAGAACTTGACGAGGCGACGAAGGATGTGGCATTTGTTGTCGACATGTCTTACGCTCGGCCAATAGAGTCCCCACCACGTGCTGCGCGAAGGATGATCACCGCCACCGCTTCAAGCCAAGGGTTCCAAGACTCAGATGAAGGCATCAACAGCGTCGGAAGCCAGCCGATAAGCAGTGGAAGAGATCAACCGCCAATTCGGTCGGTGTGCTTCATTGGCGGGCCCACAGGGCAGCCGCGGCGCTGCCGCCCTCCGTGGCCGAAATCGCGAGTTCGCATCTCTCGACTGGAGGCTGAATATGTCATCGATCAAGCCGGTCGTGCGTGGTTCACTAAAGCGACAAAGGTGTTTGTGTGCATTACATCGGGCTTTGTACAGTAGTCAGTTCTTCGAACATGGAATTTTTGAAGTTCGTGGGATTCAGCCGCACTAAGATCACGATGCTTTCCTCGTCTACCTCAAGTGAGTCGATTGCATCTCGAACAGCAGAGAGTCATGATGATGTCCCGACAGGAGGCCAGACCGTACTGATGATAGTTTTTCCCGCCGTACTTGGTTCGCTGGTGGCTGGCATGTAAAGAGCGTGCACGTTGGTTTCAGTAGCATTGTTAAAAGGCCCACAACATGCCGCGTAAAACATGTCAATTTTCTCCAGGCAGTGGAAATGTTCCTTGCTGTGTGTGGATCCTATTGAGTGGTAAGCCAACCACGTACACCCCCCTACAACATGCAACCAAAGGTGCTCGTCCAGTCGGTCAGGAAGCCCCCAGCGAAGGAAGCCGGCGAAGACAACAAGCGCGTGAAGCGGAAGCGACTGATGGAAGAGGCCGTACTGGCTTCCTCGGTCGCTGCCAGAGAGCTCCGCGCTGTGGTCGGCCTCGCCGGCAGGCGGGGCCTTACAACCCAGGAGATTTTCCAACACTTCGTTGTCGATGATGCGATGAATGCGAATGGGGTGGGCGAACAAGGTGGACGGGTGGGAAGGAACGAAATCATGGCAGGAATGGCTAAACTTGGGATTGCCTTGTCCGAGGAAGCCTCGGACTTGTTGATCGAAACGATCGTCCGCTCGAGCGCGGAGCTCACACCATGTCGTTCCACGCAGCCCGCCGCCGCGAGTCAAGTTCGTGGCAGTGTCATGCAACCCCAGCGCCTGCCTAGAAAACGAGGAAGTCCTGCTTCTGCTAGTGCCTCTTCCTTGCAACGAGAGGGGGGGCGCTCCAGCACTAGGCGAACAAATAGGTCGCCACCACCGGTGCGCCGATACGTAACTGCCGAAGACCTGTGGAATTTTGCTTCCAGCGAGTCAGGGAACAACTCAAAGCACAGCACTGGTGACGGAGCGCCGCTTGATGACGGAGATGAAAGGGTTTCGGCAAACCGGGATGGTGAGCGACGACTTAGAGCAAAACAGGACCACGATCCAAACCGGCCGAATCGGGCTCGCCACGGACGACCAGGCCCGTCGCCCAAACGTAGGCAGAGGAAGAACGGAGGCCATTCTGCTGGTGGTGGTGCTGACACCTCATCGGAAGAGCAGTCGCGCGACACGGGCGGATTGCGTCGAGTGGGTCCTCCACCACCATCCAGTGCTGGCTGTGGTAGCCGTAGCGACCGCCCAAAAAATGCACAGCAATCGTTCTCCAAGAACGACCAGCAGGCGGCGTCCGATAACCTTCAGGGTTCCCTGTCAACGATTTCGTCGGTTTCTACCGCCCACGATCCAGCAGCTGTTACTGCTATGGGCATTCCCACAACTGGACCAACGAAAAGCAACGTGGTAGCACTAACCTCGGGAAGGAAGAAGCTCCGACCTCACTCAATGCTGGCCCCAGTCGGGTCGGTTGGTTGTGGAAGGCGAAGAGGTCTCCAGGGCAGGGATACTCAGAGGCGATGGACAGTACCTACCCGTGTTTACTCGGCCTCCCACCAGAACGGATCGGGTCTCAAAACGGCGCTCCTCGAGAACGGTGAATTGGCGTCGTTTCCTTGCCATGACCCTGCGGAGGAGGCGATGAACGGCAAGGATCGAGTGTTTCATGTTGACAGGTATAGATCTATCTCGGAAGGCCGTGGGGGGTACACGACGACCAAAGAATCTTGACTGTTGGTGAACACAATGCAGTGTCGTACACAACAAAGGTTTGCTCTCTAGCGACCGGCGAACCTACAGTAGGGAAATTGGGGCATCTCGATATCGCTGTGTCGCTTTGAGATCCGTTTTCATTCAACATAGGTTTTCACACCGCTACTCGTCTGTGACTCCAAGCAAGGCATTCCTTCGCTTGATGGTTGCACCTTCACAATCGTGTGCCAATGGAGCCTTGCGCGTGACACATGAGAGTTGGACGACGGGCCTGGTCTACACGCAATAGCGACTGGACCAATACCGTGATCCTTTTGTGAAGCCTCCCGCCTGGCCCCCTCCCCGCCCCTTTCACTCTGAACCCAACGTTCCCAAGGGGGCTTGTCATCTCCTACCGGGTTCTCCGACACCCCATCGAGTTTATGTCGCCACAACAGCAAAACACCCGAACCGGCTCGGATAGGGTGAGAACCTCATCTTCTGTGGCTGGGAACGACGATACGATGGACAACGACCCGTTGGCGAGGTCAGGTTCGACCTTAATGGTCATGGTGCCGGGGCTGTTTCAGACGCTGGACACCCTGGAGAAGGCAGTTCTTCCGCTGGTGAATGCTCATCCAGGGCTCACGGCGCTTCTTGTGGCACCGCCCGGGTTGCCCAATACACATTGGCCTACCGCGATCTGTCTCGATGGCGAGGTATGTTTACGGATGCCGCCCCGATAGTTCAGGCTGTTCGAATCGGGGCATTCGATGTTTGGGGTTTTCATCAAAGGTACTCGTGGCCGGTGGCACGCTGCGTGTTGTGTGTGGTACCAGTCAAGGGGAACGGCGCACAATGACAATAGGTCGTGTGCTACAAAAGGTGTTGAGCGACAGTATCTCTCACTTTACGCCGTGCACGAAGTTGTGCTTTGAGACTGAGACCCGATCATTGGTTGCTTTCACGACCGCGGTCCAACTCCATTCTTGCCTCCTTAAGGTTTGATTCTGCCCGTACTACGAAACTCTTGATCACCTTCGTTCCACGAACTTCGCAGCTCAGCGCCATGTGCGTGTCCACCCTACTGGAGCACCTTCTCGAAGGAGACGAGCTTCTACCCACGATCGACAAAGACAAAAACGACAACGGAACTTCTCCGAAGGTCAAACCAGAACGGCACCCTGATGGTCATCCTTCTGATCCGCAGCCCGAAATGACGCCTGCGCCGATGGCCGCCACGCCCGACCCATCTACCGCAGAACCGGTAGAAACAATGGCGGCAGCGGGAATGCAACAAAGCGACATCGATGCGTCGCCCCCCTGCCCTTCGCCACCCAAATCGCCGAGAAGTTCTCCCCCTGCGCGCGAGGCATTCCCCGTCATTTTTGTTGGGTTCGGGTTCGGCGCCCACTCCCTCTTACACCTTGCAGCCGGTCCCCTGCGAACCCGCTCGCAGCCCCCGAGACGGCAGCCTAGGGACAACTGCGGCGGTGGATGTAGTGACGTTGATGATTTTGGTGGTTGTTTTTCTGTCGAAAGCGGTTTCCACGGCGACAACGACGACAGTGGCATTGGGGATCATGAACAACAGCGAGATGGCGGCAATGGCGGTGGTGGAGGTACCGCGAGTGACGGCCGCCTCGCTTCGGTGCTCTACCACAAAGGGCTTCGAGTCGGCGGGCTAGTGCTTGTGAACGGGTTTTTTGCCTTGGACGAGCAGTCTACGCAGGCAAGATGTGGTTAAAGACCCTTGGTCCTCGAGTTTGCTTCTTGCGGTGGCTGGGTTTGTTGGTGGGGTGAGGCGCGCAAACTCTGGTTGGCGTTTCCACACCACGGCTTGATAGGTTGGCCGCACCTGCGAGCTGAAGGCGTCAGATCACCGAGATTGTTTAGAACAAATCGTTCGTTGGCATCACAACGAGAGGAGAAAACGCATTTGTCATTCCATCACCTGACTGTAGCAGTGCGTCAGTCGGGCACGATCCGACGTGTACGTATACGGATGTGCTGGAACGAGCGGCGGCTCGGACTGGGGAGGTTCATAGGTTGGTCTTGATCGAAGCCTGGTGAAGTATTTACGATGTGCCCATGATCATCACGAACGTCACCACTTATGTCGCATCGTCCGATCACCACATGTTAAAAATATTCTTTGAAACAGGTCATTGGCAACCTCAGGCAGGCGTTCTGCGACCAGAGTGACGGCCTCGCCAGAACCGAGGCAATCGCTTCACTCCTTTTCTCCGAGAACTACCAGACAGGCCGGGTAGCAGCATCAACAGCGGCTTCTTCATCCATCGTAAATTCATATCCCTTTCTCGAGACAAGAGAGGCGTTTTGCCTCGATGCACCCGTTTCCGCCTACCCTCGTCCGCAAAATCAACTTGGCTTTACTTCAAGAACAGCAGGTCTCTTGCCAGATGGAACAACATTTAACGACATGCAGCAGAGGCATCCCGCGCGTTTCCCCTCGGATAAGGCGCACCAACAGGCCGAGGTTAGTCTGGAGTCGGTGCTAAGAGAGATGGACGAAAACGGCCAGGAGCGGAAGCAACGGCTGCTCCGGCGGCACCAACGACAACAAAAGCAGGCCAGTCAATCTGACAGCGCTTTGCCCAGTGCCGACGAAGGGTTCAACGTCGCTGGTGAACAGGAAGAGGAGGAAGAGTTCGAATCGAAACTCGGCGAAGAATGTGATGACGGCCAATGGCCATCGCCACAACATGGACGCACCACTTCTTCTTCCTCTTCCGAGGGTTTGGATGCGGGTTTCAACTATTTCGCGCAAAGGTTGGCCCTGGCGGCAAGCGTTTCGATCCTCGACGGCCTCATTCTGAACGGCAGAGGTGAGTTCGTCGAGCTCGCAACGAAGGTGGGGGGGAGGGAGAGGGGTCTCTACAGGTGGCGTTGGTCCTATTTCGAACCCGTCATTCACAGAGACTATTTCTGTGTGCTGAACCCATTTGGTACCAGTTTCAACCCTAGCGGTTGGGAGATTACTTGAGCACCATCGATTTTCAACCAGTGTAGGGCGGCCAATATCAATAGAACACGACACGATGACATTCCTACCATGGCCCCACACTTCATTGCGGGTATCGCTATTCCGTACTGGTAAGCTACTGGGCGACCAAAAGAAATTCACATCCCTGTGTATAAATGGTACTGCTACCACATCGTTTGCGAATATCGCTAATTTGTGCGGCTTCTTCGAAGTATGTGTAAGATGGCGTCGGTTCGAAACGGTCGACTCTCATGACTGCCCTGCGTGCGTGTTATGGGCCGCAAGCAGTCGAAGCAAATCGTTGTGCTGCTTCTCTGTACTTGGTCGTCGCCTCCAGTGAGCAGGATTACAGAGGTCACGCCATAACTAGAGTCCTCCTTGTTATGCGCGTGCTCGCTCTCGTCTCTGCCTTTTTGCTTGCATGTACGGTTCAGGCAGTGATGGTAGCTGGAGTGGCAGCGTTTCGTCCGGGCATACAGGCGTGAGCGGTGGTACCGGCAGCGGTCGGGTGATCGATGAGGTTAAACGCACGGGACTGCCGCTTTTGATGGTGCAAGGAACGGAGGACGCCCTAATTGGGTCGCCTCTCGCGCTGGTGCTTAAGCAGGAGGTAGGGACATTCATATGACAAATACAACTGTTTGACTGCACCATGTGAAGTCCTCCTTCTGAATTGCAAGTTTCTTCGTGGTGTCATACGCATGGCGGTTGCTTTGTAGGTTCGGAAAGTTTTGAGGGCGTTTGCCCGGGAATTTTCGCCCCCGCTGTGTTGCGCCCGCCCTTTGGGTAGTTGAATTTATCATCGGATGTTGACCGTGCCGTCGGTCTTTGCAGCTGCTATCGGACGAAGCTGTCGATGCCGAAGCTGGAAGCGTGCTGGAATGCCTCATGCCAACGCCACCGGGCATTTCGCCAGGCGGTAGGGTGCACGGCGAGCAAACCGTAACACCGACGTCGTCGGTGGGAGGGGCAGAGGACGCAAAGGGAAACACGAGTGCCGACGGTGACGGGGGAAATGAGGACAGGAGTCGAGGAAGCGACGTCGCTGAACAAGGGCGAGGAGGACACGGCTTGCTCCGCGCGCACACGTGCTGGGTGAAAGCTGGCCACGATGTGCTGCACGAGAGGGGACCCTTCCTGCGCGCTTTGCTCAATAAGGTGGACACGTGCAGACTGCTTACCTCCTGAACTACTCCCCCACAATGAGACCCAATATGTGATGATCATGCCTTCCGGCACCCTTATTCTCAAGGACCAATGATCTCAAGGGTACAACGAAAAGTGCGTCCACCATTGCCCCTTTTTCCTGTGTCAAGAGGTTGCAACCCCCGTCGCGAGAAATGTGGGGGTTGAACGGGTACTAATCTCACACTCCCAGATGGTTAAAACGAAACAAGCCGAACAATGTTCTATTTTCCCCCATTGCCATTGCCTTTCTTCGCGGTTTACGCATGATTTAGGCGATATACGCTTGTCACGGGCGCGACGCCCCGCCGACTCGCTTTCCCGAAGGAACCGAAAGCCCAACCAATGAAGGTGCTCGCATCAACCGTGGTGGCGCCGATGTTGCTAAAGACGCTGGTGACGGTGGGCAAGGACATGCTCTGTCACCGTTGCTGCAAGCCGACAGCGCCGCATCGCGGGGCAGCAGCAGCGAGGGAAGACCGGAGTGGCTTGATGACGGCGATAGAAACAGCAGCAGCAGCCAGGAGGCAAGAAGACTGTTCTACCGCCGGGAAGAAGGAGTAGCTGAACGGAACGCAGAATCAACTGCGTGTGCCACCGGCGCTAACGGTGGTTCTAGTACCGGTGGAGCTGCAGATGCCGCAGGCGATGACTCTCTGGGTTCGCCGCATGCAGAAAACAACAGCACGTGCTGGCCTAATGTAAGGGCTGGGAGAGATTCGGCAGTCGACGGCGGTCCTAGCGCCGGAGGCGGTACGGCCGTGGAAAGAGTAAATCCTCCGTCCACGACGAATACCGGCTCTGGGTCGGCTGGCTCATCCGTGCAGACGTCGGCAGCCACCAGCGTCCTCATGGGCCGGGCGCCGAAGCTAGTTGACTTCTTCGACCTGGAAGACGAGGGTTCGAGGCGAGAGTTCCAAGAAGCCAGGGACTACCTCGAAGAGTGGCGCGAGTTCAGTATCGACAGGGCTATCGTGACCGCCGGGCTCGGGGCGACCGGCGAACGCTTGGCCGCTCTGGACCTGCCTCTAGTGGCACGGTACACGTTCCAGGTGAGCACTCGCCACCAGGAGGCTCACTGATGTTCTCGTTCGTGTCGTTTTGGACCTAGTCTTGGCGTGCCAGTCTGCCAAGTCGTTCTTATTTTTCGCGTTTTCTGACGCTCCGCCCGAGTCTACCGATGCTGCCTTGTCGATTGATGGCTTCGCGCTCAATGTGCGGTTTTGCGAACGGCCTGTGTACGCATCTGTGAATAAACAACTGACCTTATTCCTAGCCTCCTCGCTGCAATAGCCCTTGCCCTGCCCGCCTCAGCTACTGCCTTGGTTAACACCCCGTGATGCCATTTCAGACGATGAAAGAGTGCTGGAGATGCCGAGCGCTCGTGGTCGAGGTCACTCGCCTCGATCTTGGCATGCGCAAGAGGCAAGCCCACACGCGCGAGCAGCTGGCCCTTTCCATCCGCACCGTGAACAACATGGTCCGCACCCTCCGCAAGAGCAACAGCAGCAGCAACAACCAACACCGCGACACGACCAACAGCGGCGACAACGCCGCCGCCGCCGGCGCCGCCACTGCTGAGAACAACGGCAACCAGCAGGACCTTCTCCACCTCGAGCCCCTCGATCAGCAGGCACTGAAGGCCGAGATCGCGGCCGCGGAGGGCTCCAGGGCGACCAACTACGCGGCCTGCCGCAAGCTGCGGCGTACCGGGGCGGTCTTCGCCGCCCGGCGGGAACGACTCGAGTCGACGCTGGCCTTCCTGACGGGGCGAGTGCGGGGCTCGCTGCTGTCGCTGGAGCGGATTATGGGGCAGCTCCGGAAGCACCTCGCGCTCGCGAGGGTGCAGGAGAGAGTCTTCCACGAGGAGGTGGTCAAGGGCGAGAGGATGGGGCTGAAGGCTCGCCGGCGCCTTGAAGTGGTCCGGGAGCAGCTTTCGACGTTGGGTGTACACCCGCACAAGGTGGAAGTCTTTGACAGAGCTTGGTTGTTTCTTTTCGGGTCCAATGCAACAACCATTCACACCACGCGTCCAAATTGTATGAACTGGACTACCATCCTCTTGGGAATCGATGTGGAAACTGTCTTTGGGGGACAAAAGTAGCAACTCGGGGGAACGGCTGCGCCACAGCTGGAGGACGATGTGACTGTTGGTGTGATGATATCGATGTTTCGACCTCACAGATGCGACAATTGTCGTGCCTTGCGAACTTCTATATATCTGAACGCGAAGGCTTGAGCATGTAGCCACAATACATTGTTCCCAAGATGCGTTCATCACTGCACTTCCCCTCGCGCCCTTGTCTTCAATGTCCTCAATGAATCATCACGTGGCATAGTGGACAGACTCGGATGCGTGGCAGCCAGGCTACATGCAGAGACACGAAACGGCGGAGCTGGTCAAAATGCTCGAGGCAGAGGGTCGCACCCTCCAGACGGCCGCGGACGAAGCCTGCGAACAGAGTGAACGCGCTCGAGAGCTCCACGAGAATATCTTCCAGCAGGAGTCCACTCTGGTGTCCACGATGCAAGGCGTGGGTGCGCTGTTCAGTCTCCTGAACACCGCCCTGGAAGACGAGAACTTCGTCAGGGACGCGGAGACTGTAGTGGAGGCACAAACGGCGCTCGAGCAGGAGGTGTTAGGGCTCGGCAGCGGGAAGGCGGGACGAATAGGCAAGCGAAACCAACGAGGAAAAGGGCTGCTATCGGCAGAGACGCGCGTGAGGGCCACGCCTCACCGCAACCGAACGCCGGACGAGAAAAGGTGGGTGGCCCTGGACGCGGTGGTTAACCCTCAGCTATACCACCACGTTACCCTCGCCGAGGCCGAGGAGATGCGCTGGGACGCCCTGTACTACACACGACTGGACCGGGAGGATATCCTCCGGGTGCTGTCGCTTCCGCCGCAGGTGCAGCTGGCCCTGCCGTTCCTGCACACTCCTGACGAGGTCGCCGCGCACGAGCTCCTCGCCCGGTACTCGCTCGGCATCAGCGCCGACCACTTCGCGCAGCAGGACAAGACTAGCCAAGACGCCTGCGAGAATCCGAACACGGCTTCTGCGTCTTCCTCCATGACTGCGGCGGCGGAGGCGGCCGGCGACGACAAAACCGCGCCGGGCAGCGCTACCGCAAAAGGAGCGGGAACTTCCCGCCCTGGCTGGCGGGACGACATCCTTGCACGCGCCACTCAGCGAGTCTTGGTTTGCATGTGGCGCGCCGCAGAGGCGGAGCTAGCGTCTCCCGAAGACCGAGACGACGAGGAGGCCATCTGGTGCGTGCTGGATCGGAAACTGCGACCGCAGCTGTACCGCGACTCCGACGAAAGCGCCGCTGACAGAGCCGAAGAGCTGCATTGCGAGGCTGACGCCCGGGAGGACGCGCGCCATACCTGGCTGACGACCCCCAAGGGTACTTCCCCTAGGAATCCCGCCGCCGCCCAAAATCTATCAAATGTCGGGGGTAGCAGACACAAGATCGAAATCGTTGTCGAGCAGCAACGGACAGCCGAGGGCGTGGCTGCCCTGAGAAGGGTATCCGAAGACCGCGAAATGCTAGTACACGGGGTTGCTGACTCTTTCAGCGAAGAATACCTCAAGGCCTTGGCCGCGTCGGTGTCGGTAGGCGGGTTGCCAGAGGTTGGCGTGTTAGAAACAGGCCGAGAACCAGAAGGGGATCGAGGGTTGAAGGCGACACCAGGGGGGCAAAATGGTGAACCGGGAGCTACAGCAGTAACGAGGGACACTGGAGACGATGAAGCGCGCATGGATGCAGCACGGCCACGAGAGAGTAGTCAAGCAGCGGGAGACGATGGCGACCGCAACGAGAAAGAGGGCGAACAGCAAGAGCGACGCAGCCGCAGCCGCCGCCTCGTGGAGACCGTACAGAGAGTCCTGCCTCGGTTTCTCGTCGCCGAGGAGGAGACTCCTCTCGGGCGGGACATGACTCGGTCTCTCGCGATGCTGCAAGAGGTAGCCCTACGCCTGGGAAGAGGGCAGCGGGACATCTTTTCGGGCTTAAACCCGCAGACCGCCCTTGCCGCCCTTCGGTCCCCGCCGCCGTCGACAGCGGGAAAGCCGGCATCCAACCCCCGAACGGAGGAGAATGGCAGCCGTTCCGGCATTATCGCCGCAGAAGGAGGCGGAGAGAGTGGGATGCCGAGGGAAGAAGCTCCGTGCATCGGACGAGATGAGGGAAGTGTCTGCGGAGCTGCTGAAGGTACTCCAGGGAACACGAGAGACGGTACTGAAGGAGGCAGGTCGGCTACCAGCAAGCCTGACAGAACGGTGGACAGGGTAGACCCTCGACAACAACGGTTGGCAGATGAGGCGAAATCCATGTCGGACTCCGGGCATTGTTACGACAGCTGCAACTACAGCGCAATGTCAGATACGCCACGAAAGCTCGAAAAGGTGTTCGGTTCCTGGGAAGAGATACATCCAGCCGCGCTCGGGGTGCATTCTCAGGAGAAGGCGTTCCGGACGGGGGACGGAGAAGGAATGCATCCGGCGAGCTTCCGGAGGGATTCCACAAGCGATGGTATGCATGACCCTACGGATGCATGTACCCCGCCCAAGGTTTCTCCGGTACCTTTGTAGGGACAGTATTGGTTATGGCCCTTACCTTGAAACAACACGGTAGAGGTGTGCTATTTTTGTGGATCTACGTCTCTTGCGGCGAAATCTATTTTATCGGTCTTTTTGGTTGGAGACGTCGTCACATGCCAAAGAAAGCGCAGACGAGGGTGTGGACGGTGGTTGTCGACGACAGTCCTGCCTGCATCTCCGAACCTTTGCAAACGACGGGATGCAAAGCGTTCCGGTCGTGCAGTACCTTGACTGCAGCCATTCAGCGTTCTTCGTGTGCAGAAAATCCTGGGAAGCTCCAAAAATAGGAAGAGAAATCATCCCGCATCCCTAGTCGGAACCTCGCGGAACAAAGCATGCCAGAAAGTTCTCGACTTGGAGCTCTTTGTCCACCTACGCCTGTTTCTCATACCTTCAGGACCCCCCCCGCCACGCCGTGAATACCGTAGACGACACAAGATAACACACCCACATAAGAACCCCCCCCCCCCCACAGAATACGACACCCCGGTGATGATTTTCGGCGTTTCTGACAACCATCGATTTATCACCGGGGCTACATAAGATAACACACCCCTTGAAGTCACGCCGCAGGCTCCTCCGTCTATCACCGGGGTGATACAACATCTGCCGCGTGGGCATGTGGGTACTTCACACACACAACATCTGGTAGCTCTATTTTGGTCGTACCCAATAGATAGCAAGGTATGCAGGAGCCTACTTTTTTTGTGTGGGGGGGCAGGACGGATGGCACACCGAGTCATGTGCTCAGGAGTTTCGTCACCTCCGTTGAGCTCCTTTACTTAACCACATTCCGCAGAACCACAAGTCATGAAGTGTTCGTACAGGCATTGCTTCACACCCTCGCAATACCAACCAAGTGTGCAGCAGCAGCGGTTCAACTCTACAAGAAGTGTTGTAACACCTTTTTATCACACACCCTCATTATCACACCCTGTGGGTATTCGGACGCCCCTTACCCCCTCATTTATCTCACCCCCTCGTTTATCACACCCTGTGCGTGTTCGGACGTGCTATCACACCCACTGGTTTATCACCCCCCCTTAAGAGCGTAAGCGAGCTGCACTTTATCACCCGGGGTACATAAGATACCACACCCCCCACAGGATACCACACCCGGTGATAATATTTTTAAAGCCCAAAATGTTGTTCTCGGGGTGTGTTACCTGGTGTCGTCTACGGTAATGACCGCGTGAGGCGAAAAACCTAGCAAGATATACTGTTCGATGATTCCTACCCCCGCTCCCTTGTGTTTCTTCCGCAGGAGACAGCATTGGCTCTACCCGATCGTCCGTGCTCACAGCACCTGGGTTTACTCCTTTCTACGACGTCCGTCACCACCACGACAACATCTTGAGCGCATCGCTAGACCCCCTAGACATCCTGACCGGAGAAGGGCACCCAGGGGCCGCACCAGAGAGGTTGTCATACGAGGCAAGCGGCGGGAACAATTTAATCGCGGCTGGGATGGACAGGGTCGGAGATTTTGATCCCGGAGAGGTGAGACGATTGGAGCTCATTACCGAACTTCCCTAATCATCCTGTGGCACAGTACAGCGGCCGTTTGGCGTATGCTGAACTTCGTCGATCCCAACTGGCGTAACGCTGGCATGGAAGGCCCTTTTCAAGTGCTCAACTTGGTGTTTCTATATCGCATTTCGTGTGAGAATGCGGATGCCGAAATCAGGGGTTGTACCGGAAGACCTAAGGGTAGGGGACGACGAGGTCTTGCAACAGGCTACGACGTAAGGCCTTCGTCCCCTTGCGTGTGGGAGGTTTCGCACGGTTGCATGAGTGGAAAGCTCTCAGCGAATCGTTTTAATTCACAGCCACCAACAACCTTCTTCGTCAGTTTTCGCAGCGGTTCTTCCAAACGATCCGGGCGCTTAATCTTGATGGCTGCAGCTCGCGCCTCGATGATACACACTTGCTCGCTCTTTGAGTGCCAATACTCGCGACCTACGCGTTGAAAGATGGTACTCGTGGCGGCACTCCGGTTCATATCTTGTTGCTGTGAATCATGATGGGTGCGATGCTTTGTATTTCGTCGGCGCTATCCCCGAAAGCAACGTCGGTGTTCCCTTGTTCTTAAACGAGAAGGTGCAGCGCCGGGGACTGCTTGTCGCCTCTCGAAGGCGCACGTGCTTGTTAGAAGTAGACACGTCCGAGCTTCAAGCTGGCCAGAGCAAGGCCTACGCGTTCGAGGTCGGACCGTACGGCACCGGAGGCGGCGGCGGCGGCGGCAGCAGCAACAGCAGTGATGCCGGCAGCAGCGGCAGCGTTGAGCAGCAAAACAACAGTTCGGTGGGTGGGGACAGCCAAGATAGCGAAACAGGATCGACAGGAGTTACCGCCGAGGCCGCCAAGGTGTGTGCGCCCGACGACCACCAGGTTACCAAAGGAACATCGTGCCAAGGCTCGAGAAACGATTGCTTCCTCCCTTGTAAAGTCATGTACACGGTTTTCGCTCTCGACGTGAAACGATTTGGGTGCTCGAACTGTTTTTTTTCTCACTCGTTCCCTCTACGGACACGAAATAATGTCCACAGCTAAATATGCTCAGCTCCATTGAAATTTGTTTCGGTTGTGCGCCTACGGAACTGCGAAAAGCTCATGCACACAACACCTCTTTCTCATTTCATGATGTCGAAGCTGTTCGTACCTGTCGACTTCTTTTTTCTAGGTTGTGGTCGGTATCGCCGTGACAGTTGTGTTCCAGGGAAATTTCGAGACCGACGGCTATCGCCTCGGCCGACTCGCCGCCGGATTGTACCGCATGCCACCCGCGTTCGGGCAGGGACAGGCCGAAGACGGAGCGGAGCTCCCTCAGGTGATAAAACTTGTTGTGGGTGGCGGGGTTGAGCCGGGCTTGTATACGCTCAGCGAGCGTGGGGCTCGTGTTGGCATGCGATCATGGGATGTCTGCAGCTAGAGCGGGCATAGACAGCCCGTCACGGTCTACAGGGTGGTGCTTCTGCGTTTCGACATGGTGGTGACGGGCATGGTCCTTTACTATTGAAAGCGCGAAGGCAGCATCAGACCCTTTTTCCAGTTCTTTACGACGGTACTTGCAGGTTGGGTTCGGTCTCATCGATACGCTGAACACATACAGCGTACAGCTGCACTTTGTTTGTCCTACGGGCGTATTGCCGAGAATTCGCCACGCGGAAGAGCAACCTTTCCCACACAACTCAACCTCCTCCCGATCCCGCCTCCACCTTTCCCGCGTCAACGCCCCTGTTTTTGCTCCTAACTGTGCCGTTTTGTAGCCAGTGGGGTTCGCCCCGTACTCTCTGCAGTCTCTCAACACTCCAGAGTCGATCGGAAGGGTAATGATATTCCACCAGCCTCGGGTGCACCCCGTGCGGGCGGGGCGGTTTCAGGTGATAGTGTGGTAGGAGAACAGCTGTGATGGCATACTCCCGTGGCACTGTTGTTGTGGAGGCCGCCGGTATTTCCCTGCCGAATGATGACTATCAATCAGACACCCTCCCCCCGATCCTATTCCGTTGCGGTTGCAGTATTATTGGCCGTGCGTCCTGATTCCGGTTGGTGTGATGCGAAATACTGTGCAGCTGTTGCAACGCGTTGGAATCACTCCCGTACACCGACAAACTAAACCTGTGGCTGCCTCTAGAGTTGATTCGTTTCTTGTGCGCTTGCGGTACTGCCCGTTGCGGCAGTTGGCAGTGCTATTTGAATCAACACGTGGGGGCTTTTCTCCCTCATCTTTGTGCAGGTGGTGATCGGTGCAGCGTCGCGTGTGAAGTACAGCCTTAGCGTTGTGGCCGCCACGGCCATCGATGCGTTCGCTGCTTTCGACGAGAGCATGAAGGAGGCCAAGCGCATGCAAAAACGTCTCCCCTCGCTCATGGAAGAAATAGAGGTGTTGAAGGTAGGCTTCTCTCCCAGTCCCTGCTTTGAAATGAATTTGAAGGCCTTATGAGTGTCATGCTGCCAAATGCGCGGAAGTCCCTATAGTTTTTCATATCACCGGGGGCGAAACTCACGCACGCAAGAACAGCGATCGATGACTGTTGCAGAAAATGGGAGATTTGAAGGAAAAGATTCACAGGACTATCTCCGACGACGAAAAGGAGCGATAATTGCACAATTCAGCACGAACTCCCGAAGCCTGCACCCCTTCATATCTACTGCATCACGAAGGCGACCTTAGTCACACTTCGTTGTAACCCTTTAAAGGAGATTGCTAGGACGACGCGAGAAATCGTTGCACTAAATATCTTTCCCTGGTCGACGGACTCTCGTCAATAGTTAATGTCTCGTCAATAGTTAATGGCTCGCCGCTGACTTTTCCGGACGCTAGGAGACACCGACTTTCTTCCGTGTTTTCGCCCGGAGTGCATTCATGCGCGTCATCGGGATCGCTGTCGGATCGACGAAAATCGCCTTATCGTGCGCGGGAACACTTGGTACGTCTATCTTAAAATATATGTGGCGTTGGCTTGGCTGCAGGACGTATCCAAGCTGTCGAGATGGAAGCAGCGAATCGTGAGGGAGCTCCTCGAGGAAGCCAGGGAGGAGGCTGTGAGGTAAACGAAAGCATGAAGCGCCGAAAACGCGTGCCGAGAGCACCTGTCTCATACCCTATCGGCGGCGGGTCTATCACACTTCTTCAGTTTTGCTAACACGCCCATGGGTCACCCATGGGCTGGGTGACCCATGGGCCGCCCATGGCCACTTTGTTGCCCGTGGTTGACCCATGGGCATGCCCATGGGCGGCCAATGATTGCCCTTCTACCGGAAACCGGTGTACTCCTAAACAATACTTCTATATTATTTGCTCTGGAACGACGGGCACTATTACGGCTAATAGCCCTGACGCTAACCCCAACCCTAACCCCAAGCCCACACGATACGTGCTAGGTTGGCGTTCGGTGGCTAAGTTCTAGGTTGATGTGCCGATGGCGAACTTCTAGGTTGATATGCCGGTGACGAAGTTCTAGGTTGAAGTGCCCACGGTAGGCACTTCGTGGGCACTTCATGGGCCGGGTGTCCCATGGGTGGTTTGGCTAGACGTGGGAGATTGATCGGCTGCTCTCGCACCTCTACTGGATCGATGATTACCTCGGTGTGATGGTGAAACTCTGTTGTGGACGTCACTCTTCCAGTGTATTGAGTCGACGGGTTGGTGTTGGTCCCTGACGTCCATTTGGCGGTCCCGGGGATGCCTGAAAATAACGACGTACAGGTGTCGTTTACTAAAAAGCCCAAAGGAAAGTTATAATGTAATGCCATGCGTGCGACGCGTTTACCCCCGTATTCCTGCTGCATACGGTGGCATGTCAGGCACCACTTTTCCCTTCGACCAAAGTATATTGTGTTGACCAAGCAACGTAGTTGACCAGCGAGAACGTCGCTCCAACGAAAAAGTGATGCGACCCCGCCCTCTCCCCCTGTGATGGGCATCTTCTCTAATGTACGCACTCATCACCGCCGTTCATTGAAAAATGCTCGGTGCTCACGGTGGGGCTGTGACGCGTCGGTACGGTGCGTGCAGATGCGATGTTGAGGTCAACGAGGTCAAGAGAGAGATTCAGGTGCGTGCGCGGGTGGGACGGGGCTTAGCGTACGTGCGAGCCAGCGGTAGATCGCCTCGGATCCGATCCCCCCCTCACAATGTCGGGATGGAGAGAGAGGTTCGGCAACAGCGCGTGGAAGACAAAACGAGTCCACGCCCATCAACCATCAACATAATCGAGCTGCCATCCACGAGTAGTGTCCGAGAAGCATCAAGAACTATCCCCCTTCGCCCTGAAGGTCTTCGCGCTTTCCTCCATATTTATCCTGCTTCACGTTGACCTGCGTTTGGGCTCGCCTTCCCTTGCTTGTGGGATCAGGAGGAAGAGAAAGACCAAAAGCTAGACGATGACGGGCGGCGCGCGCTGCTTGCCGAGGCGCGACAACTGAATGCGGAGCTCGTCCGCTGGAAGGTATGCGGGCTCTGAATTCCTTCTGACTGTATGTGACTTGTCTCAGACGTTTTTCTTGCCATGCCGACTAGTTCGCTTGAAGCACCCGATTAGTTCCGTTCAAGCACATTGGACCGGTTTCCTGTGCAAGCGTTCGGGTTTCACTATCGGCGATGACGTTTTGAGGAGATACTTTCAGCAGCAGATGAGCTTCTTCAACCGCAAGCAAAGGGGTTTTGATCTGTGACTGGAAAGGGTAGGAGGGGGGGCTCATCAAGAAAAATGAAAATTTTTGTGTTCATGACTCCCACAAACGCTAGGTAGATCTATAGATGGTCAGGGTGGAGGTGCCGCCGTATGTTGTACCCCCCCGTCGTGCCGGATCTACCATGCCCATTTTCTCGTTTTTCTTATTCTTTTTCGGCACTAACATTTGTACGACACCGCACAAAATGTTTCGAAGCAACATCCTCTGCGTTCCTATGGCTCTCAGCTGTCACCTGTTGTTCTCTGCTTGGCGTGGCGCGAGCTAGCTCTATTTCTCTTTTGGGTGCTCCGCCACTGACTGTTGTTGTGAACGCGTGGTCGCAGTTGCTCTTCCTTTCTTGGTATGTCTCAGCGTAGGGACGGCAGTGAGGGCTCAGAGTCCGCCAGCCCTGCCAGTTCTCTGCAGTCCGTTCCTCCCCTACCACCTGTTTCGCCAGAGGCGCTGCCTGCTGTATCACATGTTGATCCTGCAGTCGCCTCGGCCTTTTTCGACCACGCTCTGTATGCGCCACATGATAGTGTTGGTGCTGGCGTCGCCGATCCTCAAGAAGAGGCCGCATGTCTATCTGAGCTTCGCTCTAAGGCCAGGCGTGTCCGCCTTTTCCAAGAGGATGAGCGTGCTCGTCGGGCTATAGCCCCGAGTAGTGTGCGTGCGCGAAAACCGGCTGCTCCCTCTGTATCCACTGGTTGTGCTGTTGATGCCGTTCATACCCCCACCGGAACATCTCCGTCTCCTTTTGAGACAGCTGTTTCTGGTGATGTTGTTGTTGTTGTTGTCTTCACATTAAACTCGTATCAGTTGCTAATCCGAAAATCTAGCAAAGACGCAATCCGTGGTCACAAAAATGCTTGAGCCATCAGAAGATCCAGAGAACACGCAAACCAGCAAGAAAAGGGTACACAAGCCCGAACAGGTACACCTACATCCCTGCAGCATGTCTGCGTGCCCACAAACTGAACTACCCGTCCACACACCACATTCGACTACAGCACAATCACCCCCCCTGTTCTATACTTTACCAAAATGAATGTCGACTACAGCGTATAGCTGTCTGGAGTGCTGCCTGTACAATAGCACCATGGTAGGCATGGTACAAGTTCGGGGCGCGCAACTGCTGTCTGAAGTGCTGTCAGAATGCGTCCGTGGACATACAGTGAAAACGAACAACCAACCAAAGCCATCATTGCAATTGACAATCACCGAATCTACCCCTGATCATCTGTGTTGGAGACAGCAGTGTAAATAATAGACACTGATTAGGAATCGCTCCACATTGAAGGGGTCGGGGGTCGTCCACCATGCAGGCACGCAATAAAGGGACCCGGGCTATCCGCGCCATCTCTGCCGCGTCTCTCTACAAAACCAGTGAAGTCATCACATACACACCAATGTTCAGGAAAAAAACGGAAAATATTTGCTAACACAAAATGTTTGTCCGTGCGTCACGGTTCGATGTCGTCCGTGTGCTCCGGTGCCGCTGCTTCGATGCCGCTGCTCCGGTGCCGCTGCTCCGGTGCCTCTGCTTCGGCGCCGCTGCTCCGGTGTCGCTGCGGCCAGTCCTAGCACGACCAAAATCGACCCGCTCCGTCCATACTTGCTCTCGTTGCTGTCCTTCCCAGTCGGTTCCTCGCTTTCTCCCTCGTTGCACTTAACAATACCCCTAGGGTCCTTGGTCTGAAAATTCTCGAGCCGAAGGGTCAACCAGCCCACTCAGCTCGTCACCACCTGTTCCCTCCTCTCCTTTGGTAAAGCCAGGTTGCTGAGACAGTACAGCTCCCTCTAGCAAACCTAGGGCCGTGTACATAGTGCCCGTCCGCCTTTTTCTGATGGCGTCTGCCTCCGCGCACAAAACTGAGATGGACATTGCTGTCTACACCGACGGAATGAGGCCCGCGCATCTGCATTTTTTTACCTGACGCACCAGTGCCGACCCAACTCTACCACTACAGTACGCACGCCTCGCGGCGGGTGCGCCGCAGCAAGAAGGTATCGGTCCCTTGAGGGTGAGTCTAGCCATGCTCGGTAGAGAGACCACCCCCCTCGCTATAAGCCATGCCTAAGGAAAAGCCTTGCCGAGGCAGCGAGTCAAAGAAGGAAGTGGTGGCCACTGGTTCTGTTGTAGTAGCCACCCACCCCTCTGATGTGCGTTCAGTCGCAATAGGAGCCCCTCATTCACCTTCCGATGTGCCTTCAGTTGCACTACAGGAACCTCCGATGTGCCTTCAGTTGCACTAGGAAATGTCCCCATTCCGCGTGACGAGCTTCGTGTTCCGTCTGCAGCGGATGACGGGACTGTCAGGTTTTCTGACGGTGTACAACATTTCGCCGCATCCGCTGTTGCACCTGTTTTGCGTAGTACGTCTCGCGATGCGTCTGCTCCTAGCAGTTCTAGTATTCGTTCTGATGTGCGCTCAGTGGCATCAAGGACCATCAACACCTCTCGAGGTGTGCGTTGCGATACGCCTGCTATTAACCATGTAGCAAAATCGCTGATCCCTGCTCGAGGAAACAGCACGGGCGCTCGGCCGGAATATGCTGATGCTAGTGTGACCGCCGCCGGAGTGTCCGCTTCTCAGAGTTATATATACCTCTAAGAGTAACAGAGAGCAGGTGCTTGCTCGTGATAATCGTCGCCAGGCTCGCAATGCACGCGCTTTAGCTTCTGCTAACCATGTGCCTGCTCCGCCCCCCATGCTTTCTTCCGCTCATGAACGTGCAGCTACTGCAGCTGCTCTAGAACAAGTTCGTCTCGCCGAAGCTCTTAACGCGGACCTGCTCCTAGCACTTCAAGCTATGGTGACCTCTGCACCGACGACTTCCTCGGACTCCACGCCCCCTGCGGGATCTCCTCGTCGTCACCTGGCGGAGGACACGGAATCGGCAGCGCTCTCTTCACCGACCTTCAGGGTGACGCCCTCCGTAGAGCCCAGGGCGTTCTTGATTCCGAGTTCCTCTTCATGATCGGCTTCATCGTCCAGCTGTTGTGCCCGGGCCAAGCGATCGGCCCGGACACGGTCCACCGCAGCGCAGGTGGCCGCCTCAGCCTCCGAAGAGGCCAGTAGCGCTTGCATTTCTCGAGGAAACGTATGCCAGCGGGCGCCGAGATAGTCGAGGAGCGGCGGGCATGCAATCGGTGGAGCGGCAGCAGGCGGGGGCGCCGTGGTGGCAGGCGCAGGTGCAGCAGCAGCAGCAGCAGCAGCAGCAGCGGCGGGGGTGACAGCCGCAGTCGCCGAAGAGGCCTTGAGCACGGGCGCCGCGGGGCGCTCGGCTCGATGACGGCTCTCAGGACCCGTGGTGGCCTAGCGCAAGGCCGGTGAAGAGAGCGCTGCCGATTCCGTGTCCTCCGCCAGGTGACGACGAGGAGATCCCGCAGGGGGCGTGGAGTCCGAGGAAGTCGTCGGTGCAGAGGTCACCATAGCTTGAAGTGCTAGGAGCAGGTCCGCGTTAAGAGCTGCGGCGAGTCGAACTTGTTCTAGAGCAGCTGCAGTAGCTGCACGTTCATGAGCGGAAGAAAGCATGGGGGGCGGAGGAGGCACATGGTTAGCAGAAGCTAAAGCGCGTGCATTACGAGCCTGGCGACGATTATCACGAGCAAGCACCTGCTCTCTGTTACTCTTAGAGGTATATATAACTCTGAGAAGCGGACACTCCGGCGGCGGTCACACTAGTATCAGCATATTCCGGCCGAGCGCCCGTGCTGTTTCCTCGAGCAGGGATCAGCGATTTTGCTACATGGTTAATAGCAGGCGTATCGCAACGCACACCTCGAGAGGTGTTGATGGTCCTTGATGCCACTGAACGCACATCAGAACGAATACTAGAACTGCTAGGAGCAGACGCATCGCGAGACGTACTGCGCAAAACAGGTGCAACAGCGGATGCGGCGAAATGTTGTACACCGTCAGAAAACCTGACAGTCCCGTCATCCGCTGCAGACGGAAACACACACGAAGCTCGTCACGCGGAATGGGGACATTTCCTAGTGCAACTGAAGGCACATCGGAGGTTCCTGTAGTGCAACTGAAGGCACATCGGAAGGTGAATGAGGGGCTCCTATTGCGACTGAACGCACATCAGAGGGGTGGGTGGCTACTACAACAGAACCAGTGGCCACCACATGATCACCAGAAACAGCAGTCTCCTTGTGTTCCGGTGGGGGTATGAACGGCATCAACAGCACAACCAGTGGATACAGAGGGAGCAGCCGGTTTTCGAGCACGCACACTACTCGGGGCTATAGCCCGACGAGCACGCTCATCCTCTTGGAAAAGGCGGACACGCCTGGCCTTAGAGCGAAGCTCAGACAGACATGCGGCCTCTTCTTGAGGATCAGCGACGCCAGCACCAGCACTATCACGTGGCGCATACAGAGCGTGGTCGAAAAAGGCCGAGGCGACTGCAGGATCAACATGTGATACAGCAGGCAGCGCCTCTGGCGAACCAGGCGGTAGGGGAGGAACGGACTGCAGAGAACTGGCAGGGCTGGCGGACTCTGAGCCCTCACTGCCGTCCCTACACTGAGACATACCAAGAAAGGAAGAGCAACTGCGACCACGCGTTCACAACAATAGCCAGTGGCGGAGCACCCAAAAGAGAAATAGCTAGCTCGCGCCACGCCAAGCAAGGAACAACAGTCGAAAGAAAGCTAAAAAACAATAAATCCCTTTACTGCAGACACGCCAAATGTTGTGGGATTACACGCGTAGCGATCCCTGAAGACCCTGATGAAGACTCACTTGTTTATTAATCTCTTGGAACAGCAATGCTTGCTGTCGCCTTGCTCTCTAAGGTAGACTGAGCACAGAGGGGGAGGACATGCTCCCTCTAAAAGGGGCCACAAAGGGCCTGTCCCCTGTTTTATCCTTCCATCGGGAGTTACATCTCCCGCACTTTCCTCTGGGAATTACTCCGCAATACCGTTGGCACTGGCTTCATTCAAATCCCAGAACACTCTCTACTAGTCTAGACTAAGACCATTATTGCTGCCTTGCGGCCATACTACATTCATCCTTATTCCATGTATTCTCGGTCTAATACTCGGCCTCATTCGGCGACAGGCTGTCTTGTGTCGGCGACAGGCTGTCTTGTGTGTCTTGTGTCGGCGACAGGCTGTCCTGTGTGTGTCTCGTGCACGCTGTAGCTAGCCTACGGGGACGGTACGCTTGACTATAGCGGATACACAGGCAGAAGCGCGAGGAAAACAAACGCTACCACATGTTATGGGGGGGGCACCTCCTCCATTGAAATAAACTCGACACGACCCCTCTCCGCTCCTGAAACGCTCCTCGGGCAACAAGAAGCCCGGCGGTGAGTGATGGAGATAGTCTTCCCTGTGGATCATGTAGCCGATCCACCCTGCGCCCTCGGTCGGCCACATGTAGGTCTACATGCATAGCGGCAACCGCGTGTTGGTTTCAGCTTCATGGCGACTTGCGGGACAGCCGGTGGCCGTGGGGACACAGCAAAGTTGCTTTTGTGCCGATCGGATGTGTTCTCGGAAGTTTCGCGCGTACGCAATCTCCCACACTATTGACAGTTTTGCTAAACCGTCCTGGGACAGCCATGAGTCACCCGTGGGCCGCCCATGGGCACTTCATGGGCCGCCCATGGGCTGCCCATGGGTCGGCACTTCAACCTACATAGAAGTTCGCCAACGGCATATCAACCTGGAGCTTAGCCACCAGCACATCAACCTAGAACTTGGCCACCAGCGCCAACCTAGCACGTACCGTGTGAGCTTGGGGTTTGGGTTTGGGTCAGGGTTAGATTTAGGGTTATTAGCCGCTATGGTGCACGTTCCAAACAGATAATCTGTTGTTTACGAGTACACTGGCCGGTTGAAGGGTTCTTTTTGGCCGCCCATGGGCTTCCCATGGGTTGCCCATGGGTCGCCCATGAGCTGCCCACGGGCTACCCATGGCACACCCATGGGTGACCCCTTTGTGATCCATGGGCTGTCCATGGGAGTCACGGGGGCCGTGGGCAGCTGGGGTTGTAGGAAAAACAACAAAATTGGTTTGTGCCCAAGGGAGGTGTTTTCGGAAAGAATAGCTGTACCGTAAATATGGGCTTGTTTTCAACGCCGAGTTCGTGCCGCGGCCACGTTCTTGGGCGCTTTTCGAGCACTACATGCTGGTTTCGGCCAAATGACGGCTTGTGCGACGGCCGGGGGCGTGGGAACACAGCTCAACTGTTTTCGTGCGTATTCGGGGTGTTTTTGGGAAATTGTTTACAGTGTCGTAAATATGGGCTTACTTACGACGACGCCGAGGTGGTGCGGTGACTTCAGTTTTAGCCATATCCCGGCAGCCACCGGTAACTATGAGACGAACGAGGGCTTGCGTGAAGCCGTAGGAACGTAGAAGATGTTGCTTCGAAGCATTTTGTGCGTTTTCAGAGATGTTACAAGATCGGTGTCGTAAATGGTATTACTGTTTAAAAAATATCACGGACAAACGGAAGAAAACGCTCGCTATTTCATGGCACGTCATCACACGCAACATGCACGTACCACCCCGTAAGGATCACCGATGGTCTCCCACGAGCCACGTCTATGTGCCAAGCCAGGAGAGCACAAGCAGTAGTTGTGGTGAAATCCGCGCAACGATTGGCGATCGCATCAATACAGGGTGCGCGGGTTTGCACAGAGTCCTGAACGTAGGGTTTGACCTGTGGAGCAGATATGGCCAATCTGCTCCACCGGCCCTTGAGCCACCGAGCCCTCGTTGATGGGCCTTTCTCTGCACCCCCTTGTTCGATTGGGGCGCCCGATGGCTTGTATGATACCTGTGGGCCGTGCCAACACAATGCAAATCTTCTTAGGGCATGCGACGCCCAATACATAAGAGTTTGACCTGGTGGAGCAGATATGACTTATCTGCTTAACCGGCCTTTGAGCCACCGAGCCCCCGTGGGTGGGCGTTTCTCTTCACCCACTGGTCCGATTGGGGTGCCCGATGGCTTTATGATAGATGCGAGCCGTTCCAACACGGTGCGGTCGGATTCGGCGCGGTTCAGCGATGTGGTGGGAGGTATAGCGGGAATATTGACATTTATCCCCCCCTAGATGCTGCGAAACCCCCTCTGTTGACCATATCTCTGCAGGAACATATTGGATGTGAGTGTTTGATAGCTTGATTCAACGGTATGGACCGTGCAAACACGATGCAAAAGTTTTGCGGTCAATAGAACCTGTTTGGACGGAGGTTCGAGACGATTTAATCTTCCTGAGATGCTGCGGAGCCCCTTTTTTTCAGCATGTCTCTGCATCCACTGGTCCGATTCAGCTTCTAAAGTAGCTTTTCAGAAAGCTGTAGCTCACATCTACACGATGCAATTGGTTTGAGGTCGATTGGAGCTCTGTGAGTGAAGATCTGCCTGGTGGGGTAAAAACGAAGTTCCACCGGTGGAGCAAATAGCATTGCCGATTCTTTTTCCCTGGTCCTGTTTGTTTTTCCCATCTCTTGGCTCGTTCTCACTCGCGTCCTCGCCAATCGATAACCCTCACCCTGTGTCGCCACCCCCTTCATGCTCTCAAATTGTGGTTGGAGCAGGAATTGTTCGCCTCTCGTGTCCAGGAAGGCAAAGACGTGCGTGCGGGCCTAGAAGGCATACAGGCGAAACTCAAGCTATTGGGGGACGAAGCGAACAGTCTTCGAAAAAAGCTTGCCCAGGTGGTTAACTGATGTGCACTATCGCAGTAGGAGTAAACCATGCCGCTCCTCGCCGAACTGTCTCGCAAACCCAACAATCCGATCGCGAACCTTACAACAGGAAATACGGCCAATAATAACCTGGCAATGTACACTGCGGCGTTAATCATGACAACTCTCTTAATCCTTGTACCGTCTACCCAAAATAACCAAGTACTTCGGTTGCTTTGCCAACTCTCAAACCCGCGACGCAACACTGGCCTCTCCTGGCTCCAAAATAATAAACATCTCCATGCGATTACCTTCTCGTTCTATTTCCAGGCCCAGAAGTGCCTGCCTGCCGCGGCCTTCGTCCTCAAGAGCCAACGGGAGGCGATCGACATCGCCCTCACGCTTAACGCCGCAGGCGACATGTTTTCGGGTGCAGCGGCTAGGTGGGCAGCCGCGGATCTGTTGAAAGAACGCGGGGAGATCATCTTGTCGCCTGCCGACCGGGTAAGGCTTGGCCGCACGAGTCGGACGTTGGAGTTCCTTCAGTTCAGAACCGTTCTTCACCTCGTGATTCCCTCACGCGCTGCCCAATCAGTTGGCGAGATGTTCCTACGTCGTGCTCAACATATTCACTCCGTGGTGTGTCCGACGAGCAAAAACGCTTTAGAGAGGATGGGTACCACTCAGCACAAACGTTTGCGCAGTACAACCTACGTTTTAGCAAGGCGAAGTTGACTGTGCAGAGTTTTGACATCGGGACCTACGTTACTTGGAATATGCTTACCGCGGGGAACAGAGAACGCGCGACTCATTAGGCGTGATGAAATGTTTCCCGCTCTGCTATGGGTAGACTGCTTTCATGTAGGACAATGGCATGAGCGCACGGTAGTTAAGCACCGCACTACAGGCCTTGTTTCCAACCCAGACGTTTTCTGTCATCCGCAGGTGAGGAGGGTTCTGAAGGAAGAAGGCTGGGACATGCTTACGGCGGATGAGAAGCGGTTTACCATGCTCGACCGGGTGCTTCGGCCGGACCTCTATCTGTGGATGAGAGAGAGTGAGCGACGGTCGGTTGAGAAAGTTGCGGAAGATGGATATATAGTGCTGCGCCTCGACTGGGGCAATGAATGAGTAGGGGCAGAGCATGGGCATTACGCTCGTTGTTGTGGAGGCAAGAGTAAGCCTTGGTGGAGTGTCTACCGGGGACAAATATATCCCCTACATGGACGCCTTCATGAGGGAACAGACGGATAATGAGCTTCGATATCCCGAAGTGTGCGGCACAATATGACCCTCTCCTCTCGAGGAGCCGCCCCAACAACAGTAAGCAAAGGTTCACCGAGTAGAATGAGGCATTTCTATTTGTCGCCTGCAAGTCGACACATGCATTTCATGCTGTTACTAAAAGCCGCACCTCCCAAGACTTTGGAGATGTCGCGTTCTGTTCGCACGTTCACCGCAGCACCCATCCCTCGGATGACCGTGGCCGTCTGCTCGAAAGAAGCAAGCTAACGTGAAGCCCACTTCATGACGGTCTCACCGCATCACGCCAACATCCGATCAAAGGTCGCCTGAGCGAGGAAGGGCTCGTTCTGCTGGCCTCCGATGCCCCCGCGAGCCCGAAGAGGCGAAAGGATTCCTTAGCCCAGCTGATCGGAACCGCGCCTATCGGATCCACGACTATCGACGATGTGGAGAACATCGCGGACGCGATGCAAGCGAGGTAAGATCTGTTCACAGGAACCGGGGCTCTTCTGGACCGCTTGCTGTACATCGATATGGTAAGACCAACAACGGCATTAGACTCTTGGAATGTTTGTTTCTTGCTGTGAATGACTCCTTCGCTGACGGAATGTTCGAGACTGAGTGAAGAAGATCATCCTCGTGGAAGAAAATGAGCACCACAAGGAGTGTTGCCCTATCATTTTCCAGTATTTTCCAACAAGCGCGCGGCGTTATTCTCTGACGGCAGACTGCCTCTCAGCCGCTCGTTCCTGCCCTTTTCCATTAGCTTGCCTCGAACGATTCTACTGGCATCGGCCCTGCCGCATGCATCCTACCGAAAACAGGAAGAAACAAGGCTGGTCCGATAAAGCGAAATCCTATGCCACTCCCACGACATGGAGCGGTGGGGGCAAAGCAACGCCGGGGGTGGGTAGCGGTGGCGACGGAACTGCTGCAGGATTAGGAGCGTTGACGGCTCGATCTGATGCTACCAGTGCGGGGGCGCTAACAGCTAGGTGAAACAACGCCGAGAGCCCGTTTCCGAACCGCAAGGCGTTTGTCAGCTAGACGTCGGGGATAGATGTACGGGGTAGAAGGCGCTCCTCAGGAGTGGGCTCATTCGGGCAGAGTGTCATCAAGGCGTGATGCAAGATGAAAGTAAAGCATTTGTTGGTGTGAATCAGCTGCCAGTTGCAATCAGTGACCTTTTTCCAAGCTCGAATAGCTCACACAGCTGACTTGGTTTCGAAGAGCCCAGCGAATCTCAATGATCCAAAAAGAAAATAGTAGAAATCAGCATACAGCCTTGCATGGAGCGCCGTTGAGATATGGCGAGGAATGCTTGAACTTCGCGTTTTAGAGACTTGAACCTTGGCTTGAGGAGTGTGGGCCTCATGAAATAGCACCGATGGTTGACCGTAGGATGCAGCACGCGGATTTTGTGGCTGATGGTAGTCGTCGAAAGAGTATTTTACCCCCGCCCATCCATCCCCATGAACCAGGTCTGGAGCCCGAAGTATCAAGCCTCTTACCCTTGCGGATGAATGGAGATTGCGGGACTTCAGGTGACGGACAATCTAGCAAAGATTCTAGTCTAGTGATTTGGCTTCTAGTCGGCCATTCGGTCTCGCACCAAAGCGCAGGGTTGCAGGAATGAAGATTCGGTCTGCAGGGGGGTGGGCTGAGCGGGCGTTTTGGTCGTGAGAGGTTCGGCTTCTAAACATATTCGTCAGCCGCGTAGGAAATATTCTGTCGAGATGCCACTGGCGGACGAAACGCTTTCCCGGCATGGTAGCGAGAGATGAAACGATGTTTTTGGGCAGCGTCTTCAAGAGACGGAGATGACCAATACTGCAACGAGATCGCTTGCCATGCCGTCTAGCTATCGACTTGTGTGCAATATTTGCCCACCAATAGCTCGGCATTGTTGGTCTCCCTATTTTTTCCTGGCCTTGATGCAACATTCTTTGGTGCGCTGTGCGGTAGTTGAAGAGGGTGAGCAAGGGAACATTATTTACTGCAGGTACTTCTCAAATAAAATGTGCCAATAGAGACCACACGGCATAACAGATGGCGTCTTGAACAGCTTTCAAACCGAACTCATTCAGAGGCATAGAACCTCACAGCCACTACAACCGTGTTAAATAGCCGGCTCCTCTTCGTCCATGTCCTCGAAACGCCTCTCTCTTTCTGACGAAACTCTCAAGATTTACTGCAATGGAACTAGAGAGAGTCAAGACGACTCCATTTCACCGGTTGCCGCGGAAGGAGCTCAAGGCCCGCAAACTCCTCGGGCGGTTTCACGATGGACAGGATACGGTGTGTGAAGTTGATTACAGATTTCGCGGGCTACGTACCTCCGAGCCATGTATCGCCACGCATGGTGATTGTTTGTTCTTACGTGTACTAAGGCCGAAATTACCAATCTCCCACACTACTGACAGTTTTGCTAAACCGCACATGGAACACCTATGGGGTACCATGGGCCCCCCATGGGCCCTTCATGGGCGGCCCATGGGCGGCCCATGGGCGGCCCACGAAGTGCTCACCGTCGGCAATTCAACCAAGAACTTCCACCACCGGCATATCAGCCTAGAACTTAGCGACCAGCGCCAACCTAGCACGTATCGTGTGGGCTTGGGGTTAGTGTTAGGGTTAGCGTTAGGGATATTAGCCGCTATGGTGCCCTTTCCAGAGCAGATAATCTATTGTTTAGGAGTACACTGGTTCGGTTGAAGGACTCTCATTGGCCGCCCATGGGTGTCCCATGGGTCGTTTGGGAAAACTGTAGAGAGTGTGGGAGACCCAAAATTTCCGAGCATTCGCAGTAGAGCAGTGTTTGGGTATTTGCTCCGTTACGGCGTAAATCTCGGCCGCTGAGCGCGTCGGTTGGGCCCTGTCGAGGGGGCACTTATTCCCGACGGTCGCGGCGGAGGGTGAGAGGGGGGGCCTCCCTCTCACGGCGGCCCGCATGACGGGCTTCCTGCAGAATCATTTGCGGGTGGCTGAGCTGCCGACGCAGTTTGCCATGCACTCCTTTCGTGTAGGCGGTTCCCTCAGCAAGTCGCTGGCAGGGACGGCGGTAGACGAATCATGCAGATTGGGGGCTGGAAGACGGAGTCGGTGGCGCGGCACTACATTGGAGCTACCACTAGTGGTCGCCGGTCGGGTAGCTAGCGGTGCCGGGGGCAGGGTTATGCCGATACGAATGATATGCCCCGGTCCCCGGAGTTCAGACAAGAGTTTGCCGCATGCGCGCGACGTCAGTAGGTGCCGGTAGGTGGAGGAAGTCTGGGTGAGTCCCCGTCTCGCCGGGGTGGAGAGAGAAATCAATGGAGGCAACGAAGGACGGGCGGGACCACGGCCCGGCGCAGGAGGCCTCATCCAATCCAATACTTACATTAAATGGTCCTCGGTTTGGAGTCAGAATACTACAGTATTTGGGCACCTCCGACGGTTTTGCAAATACCGCAAAAGGCTCGGGACCCCGGCATCAAATACACCGATGCCCCCCTTACGGCACACTGTAGCCCCCAAATCGCTCTGAATCCTCATCCTTTGAAAAAACGGACGAAATGTTTTTGGTTGACACCAGAATGTCTCATTGGGCGGAAAAATTCCTAAAAATAATAAATCGCCCGGAGACTCTTGCTAAAGTCTCCAAAATGTAGCTTATTTTTTAATTCCTCGGAGAGTATCACCGTCGGCTTTAACAATGCGTCGTTTGTACGACAATCTTAACACATACATACATGCGATCATTCCGATGTCGGAGTCAACCATCTTGCGCTTGTCACCACCCCTTACATCTGTTTGGCTGCGTTCACCGCCGTAGGCTCCCGCCGAGGGGTTGGCACGAGCGTCTGAGAGGCGCTGCGCCGCGGTGCGAGCCAAGGACAAGGCCGCGCGCACCACTGAGGAGAGCGAGTGGGTCGAGATTGACAAGAAGATATTCCCGGAGTTCTGGCGGCAGAAGGACCGGCAGGAGGCGAGGTGAGCCAGAAGTATGTCGTGAGCTGAGTGCGCTGTGCTGCTCACAAGGAAGGTCCCACATCGCCGTCTTCCTGAGTCAGACGCGACCTCGGTGTTGTCGATCGATTCCCTCCGGGTTGGCAGTTCCCTCCGGAGGAACGGCCGGAGTGGGCCTAGTTCGCAAATGCGCGAAGTAGAGCTCGAATATCACTAGAATAGAAAGATCAAGGGATAGAACCCCTCTATTCTTCCGAGAATCGCCGGAAAAATAGACGTACGTAAGACTCCCTGGTCTCGCGGACAAGACTAGAGAGTGTGACCACAAATGCAAACCCACAGGCCGCCCCTACCTACCTTTCCCCCGAACCCACCACCCGAACCGCAATCGAAATCGGTCGCCATATACTACCGCCGGGAAAACAAACGTTTCGGCTAGACTGAGGCAGTTCAACATGACTTTGACGAGCCTCGGGAAGCCGCCCACAGCTTCGGAGGACGGCGACGACTCCGAGCTTGGCGGTGATGGTGGTAGTGGCGGTGGAACACGACCGGCGGGGGAAGGAGCACGCAATGGACATCCAGGGAGGAGGGGAAGCGGTTGGGTGCTGAGGGGGTGCCCTTTCGATAGGGAGGAAATTCTGCAGATTTGGTCGAGGTGCATGCAGCAGAAGTACGCGTTGATGCTTGATTGCGTGTATCCAAAGTACCCCGCAGTATGCGTCGTCTCTGAAGCAGCTCCGGGTAGGGGTGACAGGAGTGGAGGTACATGCAACCGTGGAGCATGATACCGAAGGGAGTTACCCGAGCGGTACTTTGCGTGCCAACGGCAGTGAATCAGCGTGTCTACAGTTCCCTTCTTGGAACATCGGCTGTTTCATTTTTCAGTGTTCAAGATGGACCGAGAACTTTTGGTTGTGAGGAGGGCCTGCGTAAGGCGTACATCACGTAACTCCTCTAGATATTACTCCTTACGTAAGTCCTCCCCTAAGGCCTAAGGGTGACCTTGGTCTTACCACTACATATGCCGTATGGTGGAGGTCTGCAAATGCCTGTTCAAGCAGCTCCAAAAACTTGGTCCTCCGGGCTGGCGTCATAAAACGACAAACGGCAAACCTTGCTGGGTACCCCCGTTGAGTCCTGGCTGTTGATATCTAGTCTGTTTAGACGTGCGGCGGTTCTGGATTGATGTTATTGCTCATCTTCTTTGGTGATGCTACAAGTGTACCAAAGCTGGAACTTGCACGTTTCATCTGCGATAATTGTGTTTTTTTCCCGCCGTAGGAAAGTCCCGCGCGAGAAACGAGACAAACAAGGGTATCATCAAGGACAACGCGCCAGAGGCGACGATCCTGTGGCGGATCTGGAGAACGACAAGCTAAGGGTTCGAGAACTGCTGCTCGCTTTCAACGGTCCGATTTCAACTTTCGCAAAGTGAGCTGAACATGGAGTCATGTTCGGTCTTGAGCATTGCATGCTAGCCTATGGTTCCGGTGTCCTTTCGAAGCTTGTATCAGCCAAAACTCCTCTCTTGGTAATTCCCTGCCCTGGTAACCATGCCATGTGCACCCTTTACAAGTGTATGCGCAGAAGGCTTGAAAACAAGAACGTACAAGGGTTTCAATCGGTGTTGCAACATGTGGAAGTGGCTTGAGATTGTGCAGGATATAGTACAGGTTGTCAACGATATCGCAGGTAACAACCCCCCCCCCGTCCGCGGCCCCAGCTAACCTTCCCTCTCTACCTTGATCGGGCGACCGAAAGGGAGAGAGCTCGGTGGGACAGCCGCAAGGTCCTGGATGGCGAGCTCCTTACCATGACCTCTAGCAAGCGGATCGCCCAGTTTGTGGCCACACGTCGCCGCGCGGTCGAAGCTTGCGGTCGGGACAACACCGATCTGGGACGGCCGCCGGGCCCTGATGCTAAGGTTCGCTTGACCGGAAACGGGCCCTTCTCTGGTGATTTGCGTTGTGTGATGAGCTCGTGAGATACTCGCGGCATTGGTGACGTTGCCGGATCCCGCGACGCCGGGAGTTGTTCATGTATTGATAATTTTTGCCGCCGGGTTCGTTGGTCCTTCGTAGCGAAATGTCGGTTGAACGGTTTTAACCTTTTCCAAACTCCTGTGATTTTTCGAATCAGGTCATCGCACTGCTGCGCGAGCTCATTACCGCAAAGGCCATCGATTCCAAGTACATGGACACCAAAGCCGCGCACAACACCGCGCAGAGGTTCAATACGGAGGTGAGAGATTTGCCGATGATGTTCCTCACTACGCAGGTTTTGGTCTTGACGATTGCCCAATGACGCACCGGGCGAAAGGTTCCACGACTGTCCCACGAAGCACCAGAAGAGAGCGACCAGAGGAAGTATGAATTTTTCCCACGCTCTATCTCCCAAATACTGGGAAAACGTTGCCCCCTTTTCCGTCGAAGCACTATGCCAAGGAGCTAGAACGAGACATTGCGTCCCAGCTGCGGGAGCAGATACTGGAGAGAGAGCGAGCCATGGTTCACGAGACGAAGGTGGGCGGGAGTGGATGCAACCTGGTAGAGCTATTCGCACGTGCGGTGTTCTCAGCACAACACCAGCGCGCGCCGTCGAGATTAGTTTATCTCCAAACCAGTAAAATGCGAATAAGTCGGCGAAACCAATATGTATATTCGAGGATTGTGACCGGAAAAGCGGTAGATCAGAGACCGAGACGACAGAGAAAGAAGGCAAGGGGGTCCGGGAGCATTGTGAGGGAAATGAGCGACGTTCCTCTACGTTTCATGCTACGGTAACGGCGCCGGGGCACAGCACGCTCCCGGGTACCTTTCGAAGAGCACAGGATGGAAAACCCCCTGCTGTTGCACATCGATGGGTGTAGTCCTGTCTTTACCCATCTCTTCAACACACTTTGTGGAGTGTATCCACTGACGAAACACATCGGGAATTTGTAGTGGACCTGCAAGCGCTCAGGGTTTCCCACCCCTTCCGCCGTGCGGCTCCCTCGTGCTAAGGGCGGTACCTACGAGGACGCCAGCGTTAGCGATAGTTCCGACGACGACGCCGAAAACTGGGAGACGGAAACACCACCACCGGGGGCTCCGTTGGTGGACAAGGTGAGGATGGTACCAGTGTTTCGTCAGACCCTCCCCTTGGGGGGGTAGAGTTCCAATGTTCTATGGGAGAACACATTCCGGCGCTGAGAAGGGCGGCGTTGGAAACATGTCGTGAACAGCTTTCCAACGACTTGCTTGTTTGGCAGGGGCACCTTCTGGGGAGCGAAGCGATCGAACTTTGAGAACCGGCCCTAGGCTGAAATGCTACTTGTGATTCGTCTGTTCGAAACGGCATGAGAACCGTGGGTATATATGCTCATGCGCGTAACACGTGTTCGGTGATGGGGCTGCATTTGGGTAGGCGAAGAAATCTAACGATATGGGCGAAAAACGAATGTGGACTTTGTCCTAAAGAAGGATGCTGAAATTCCCGGCTCTGCTTGATGCCATCTCCTTTTTCGACAAGTACCGTACCTCAAATGGCGAAAGCTGCCAAGGCTGAACCTAGTGGTCGTTTCACTTCCACACAAACCTTGGCGGTGGCGGCAGGTCAAACGAGTTGACGCGAGCTTCCGAGGGGGGCCAACGGGCAATTCTCGCTCGCCTAGGAAAACGGGCAAGGTCACCGACTCCACTCGTGGCGCTGAATCGCAGAATTTCTCGGCGGCGGCAAGGACTAGAAGCAGTGTTGGTCATGGTTCCACGGCAACTAGTGATAAACATTCTGCGCCGAATTTCGGCGGCAGTGGTAGAGGTGGCAGCGATTGGGCGAAAGGCGAGGGTGAAGTTCAAGAAAAAGACGCTAGTAGCTGGCAACGTCTTCCCGCCGTGCAAGAGTTTACGCAAGAAGAGGTAAGCCGGGTTATTTCCGACACCGGCTTCTCTGCAGAGAAGAATTGGTTGCAAAAGGAGGCGCTGGACGCGTGTGAAGCCGGGCATATTTCTTGCTCTGTTGTTGCCTGAGCGCCGTCTATTGCTCGGCAACGGGGAACCCCTCGTCTCGAGCAATGCACTCTGTCCTTTAGCTTTTCCATTCAACACCAACGCAAGCTGCAAGCCTTGCCTCAACGAACGTCTACACATTCCATCTTTCCGCTTTTACGGCCGGGTCCACTCATCCCGCGACCCACCCACCACGTTACGTTAGGTGGAAGACCTCATCGGCGAAGATCCTTCGTGGGAGGGCTGCCGAGCGTGCCTAACGATCCCCTGTCGGTGGAGTTCGTGCGTGGACTACCGCTCCGTTAGTGCGAGGAAAACGCAGGTGAACCACCCTGCAGCTTCTGACCAACTGTACTGATCTTAATGTCGGGCTAGTACTTGGATGCCTTACTTGTTCTTCCTTTGATAACAACCTACTAGGAAGGGATCGAAGTTACTAAAAGGCGAGCAGTGCTGTAGTGTACGAAGGCCATCTTTCTCAATGAACTGGTGATTCTGAGAGGCTGACCGACAGGCCACAGCCACAAACAACACACATTGTAGACCTCTGAAAGACAATGAGAGAGACCATTCTATATGGTTGCGAGGCAGGCTTGTGGATGTTTCCGTTCATGGCTCGCGTTGCATCGTCTCTACCGTAGGGCGCAGCTAGCATCAACGAGACTCCCAGAGTAGGCCGAATACATTTCAGAACGGTCACAGGCGAAATCTTGGTCAAAAAAGCTTTTTTTGCGATATAGTCTCTATATATTGACTTGCGCACCTGCGGTGGCAGAAGGAAGTCGCTGTACTAGGCATACGGAGCCATACATCGCTGCGAGTTCGGAAAAGCACTGCAGTTCGAAACGGGAGCAGAACCTGGGCATGTTTGTAGATCGGTTTATGGGTGAATCGATTCGTGCGTAACCTGCTCTGACTCTCTTGTAGCAGATCAAACTGAGCTTCCTCACACGATAGGCTTACTTGGCAGGCTATCATTTAATATAATGCGCAATTACAAAGCCGTGAGAGGCAGATACAACCTTTTGTGGCAATTCCTGCCTAGAGAATTTCATCGCAGCGCCTTCCACGCACCATCTACTCTCGCCCTGTAGATACGAGACGAGCTGTTCCGGCTAATCGGACTGTGGGATTTGGATGAAGTGGTGACCGTCCTCCCGCTGAGTTGCGTACGGGGCGGGCCTACCACCCTCCCAAGGAATGAAGCCATCAGCGAACTCAGGTGACGGATTCAAAGCAACGATGCCGTCAAGAACCTCGTCTGTGATACGTCAGCGGCAGAGTCAAGTGTGGAGAGTCGAGCATTCTCTACATTAAATGGTGAAGTCGTCGAAGTCAAACGATATCTGGCACGCACTACTGAGGTTTGGGCTCTTAATGTAGGGAGGAGTTGTTCGACCCGAACCGGCTGACGAACGGGGCACTGCTTCATGGAGAGCGGCAGAGTTTACGTGAACACAGGAGCGAGAAATTCCAGGGGTTCCAGTTTCACAGTCTGACTCAATGTGGAGGTGGCAAGCACATGCGAATGGCCCGCAGGTTGTGCCCTGTCGCACTATTCGTCGCTAGACGCTGACCGCGACTGCCTCTACGTAGTTGTTGATGTGCTCCGTCAAGCCCACCCGCTGGTCGTCCGACGAGGGGAACGCAACAAGAACATGGCAATCGTTGTGATTTGAACCCGAGATCAGGAAGCAACCCGAGCTCGAGACGCGACTGGCACGAAACCGTTGAAACAGATTCTCGTCGCGTGCATGTAGGTGGGAGGCGAAAGAACTTGACCGCCAACTGCACCTCGCCGCTGTCGACAAGGAGCTGCACGACGCCTACGTCTGCAAGGCAGAGGCTATCGAGGTCAAGTCGCTGCACGAGTATTCCACGCTGATGTGGACCAAGGACGCGCAGGTAAGAAGCACAACGCTACCACAACGATCATTTTGGAGGTGATGTGAGCAACGCTTCGATTGGTTTCCAAATCTTTGGGGTTGGCGAAGAAACTCGTGCAAGTGTGCAGGTTCCACAAAGCACAGGCCCCTGCCGCTTCCGCGAGGTTTTTTGTGAGAGTGTTTCCGACACTCTTGGCCCGGCCATGCCAACACGTTGTGCACCTGTGGGGCTCTCTTCTGTTTGTATTCAGGTGGCGTTGTCGAAGGAAAGGGAGCTGACCCTGGCGAGAACGACCACCCAAGAGGTGAGAAACCCCTGCCACAATGTTGCTGGCATCTGGCGTTGTAGCCGTGAGGTCCATCCACACGCCAGCCAACCCCCCGCACCACGAGCATCAGGACCACGGTCGTGGCCGAAAGCCCGCCTACACCGATGTTGCTCCAAGAGGACGTTGATTATATTGCTCCAGATGCTCTATAGGAAGCCGCTTCCATGGTAGCGCCTAGTCTCATCCGATCCCACCCCTCCGCCTGCTTACTTTGCAAGGTGGTCGACGACCTCTTGGAGTCGATGTTGGACGGCTGGGTGTTTGGGGAGCGGCAAGCGGAGCACGCCGCAGCCGGCATAATTCCCGCGGTCAAGGCGTCCGACCCCCTCCGACCCGGGGATCAAAGACGGGCGGTGGCATATCTCGATCACCGGTGAGGCAGAGTAGAGGTTGATGAACCCTTTAATTGGCCTCGTCGTGGCGGCACGGAAAAATCGTGTTTCGTCTCTCTGCGGGCATCCATCCGCTACGGGACAACTCGGGTGTGGCATTGCACCAAACAGAACATCATCCTTGCGAACTTCCTAGTTGGACAACCAAACTCAGTAGCCAGGAACTTCGATCAACGGCTTGCTGTCGAGGCATGAACAGACGTAGCTTCCCTTGTCGGAGGGCTTCAGGGTTGCTGCCTTGGTCTGGCGCACCCGTGCTTGCTCCGCCGGGATAGGGGTGCCTCGGGAATAGGACCGGCGGAGGGGGGGAACATCCCGCTCGAGGTCTTCGGGAAGATGCTGCAGGTTCTTGGTGGGCTACCACAAGCGGCTTCCCGTCTGAAACCCATCTCTCTTCGGAAGGAAAAAACGTTCATGAAAATAAATTCACAAAATTGAGCAGCCCGTGACTTCACGAAGCTCAACCTACAATCGACCGCGAAATCATCGAATGCTCGTTTGGGCCTAGGCATCGCTTGCGGAGGGTGGCGCATGCTCAGGGTAAGCAACTCCCCGAGGAGATCAAGGGAACACATCACTCCAAGGCGCTACCCATCGACGACATCGCCCAGCAGCGCATTATTGAAGGCCGTGCAAGCAAGAAGGTGGGTTGATTGCAGTAGCCAAAGCAGGTTTTTCTGAGTACGCAAACCTACTGGATATGAAACAGAATCGGCTAAGCTGGGGTTGGGTTAGGGTTAGGGTCTCCCTCGTCCTTTTTCGTACTAAGCTTACTTTCTTTGCGCAGGCAGTCCGTTGTTTGGGGCAAGAGCTGGTTGTTTTTCGGCGGGGCGCTTGGACGGGGCGCTCTGCTGGAAATGTTGACTAAGCGCCTGCTCGGTGTTCCTTGATGTTCCCGCCGTGCAGCTGACTTCCTGTTCAACAGCAGCGGGCATGAGGGTGGGGCACCGAGGGAAGGAATGTGCTAGACTCTTGAGACCCTCGTTTTCTGCTCTGTCACTCCTCCTCACACACAGCTGTCGTACCCTATTCGTGGCCCCGTCGTGCTTTCGCCTTACACTTTTCGTCGGCCATGCCTCTGGCGGAAACCGCGGGAACGAACGCACAGAAAGAAGACCAGAAGCACCTCTTGCGAGAGACGGAGAACACTATGAAGTTCGGCCTGTTCTCGATGGTGCAGGTCAGGAGGGTCCCATCGCATTGGCGTACGTCCAATCACCTTAAGGAACATAATCCTGATTACGGCTATCGTTGATCTGCAGCCATTCATCATTTCCTAAGGGATCCGACTCGTACGTGGCTCGGAAAAAAGCGTCTGAGCACGATTTGATTGGCGCAACAGGGTACTGGCTTGCCAGTCTTGTGGGTTTTCGCAGCATTTTCTTATATTATATTTCTCGACTACCGCAAGCGCAGGGCTACCTGCATGCAATGACCCTAGTAAAGAGGGAGAAGGAAGCGTGGTCGTGCAAAGGGGACGTGATGACCAAGGAGGGCACCAGCTTCCGCCCGCCCCTGACCTCGGAGCGGAAGAAGATGGTTCAGGTGCGTGGCCTAACCCAAGTAGACAGCACCTACACCGCAGAATGGAAGCAAATAATATTGACCGTCGACCTACACAAGGGCCAAACCGCGGGGACCTCTAGCGAAAAGGCACCGAAACCGTTCGAGGTCTGGCCCAACCTCCAGTACCGCCCACACCACCGCGTTTCAACTAGAGTTAGGCGGCGGCCGACTCGGCGCGGTAGCCTCTGGCTTTTAGGTTTTCGCGCCCCTGGCGCCTGCGGCTTCCTGTTGTGATAGAAAATCAACGCTACAGTAGTTCGCCGTGCACACGAGAGGGAAAGAGAACGAACGGGTGATAGGGGTAGAAAGAGAGAGGGAGGGAGGGAGGGAGGGAGGGAGGGAGGGAGAGATACAACACAGAAAGAGACGTTTGGGGCTTTCCTGATCACGAAACTTAACCTTGCGGTTAGGTCTCCGATGACTTGTTTCTTTGAGCCTCAGCTCCCTTCACAGTGCCCACTGCGAGACGAATGAGCACGGACAGGGCAGATTCAAGAGCGAATGCGGGCGACTTTTGTAAAACTTGGATGGTTGTTTGGAGCAGCTTCTGCTGTTGATAACGTCTGTTTCGCGTACAGGCACAACACCCTGATCATGAATCCAATTTTCTCTTATCCGGGGAAATCCTACAACCCCGTGCTTTACCGTGTTGTTAGGAAGTGGTTAAGGCTCGAGAGCGAGCGGCCGCGCAGAAGAAGTTCTTAGATCGTGCTCGGAAGGCTGAAGACCGCGGGGCGCTCCGAGAGGCGAAGAACAAGCGGCGCGTGTCGCAGCGCAAGGCCATGAGAGTGCTTGAGAGTAGGGAGAGAGAGAAGGCGTCTAGGAACATACAGGTCAGCTCTCCACTACGGAACACGATAGGCCACCCCCTTGTGGTTCACGTATGCTACAACGGCCCTACAGAGTCCCAGACACGACGAGGCCCAACAAAGAACCCCGAATTTGCTGTATTTATTGACGAGTTCTCCCTTGACGCAGTTGGCGATGCATCGAGACAAGATGAGTACGCATCACACTTCGTGCCAAATTCCAAAGGTGGCATGAGCAGTTTGTCGAAGAAACGAAACTCTATACACATTCCACAGGGTTGTCAGGTCGACTGCTAGTCCCGCCTGTCCGAGCACCGGATTTCTTTTGCTGTAGCTCGTACATGTCGAGCCTTCCTTTGTATTGTTCTTTCGCTGCCAACGTATGGATGAGTTGTTTGTCCATATCGTCTCTCGCACGTACCGCCCGCCCATTGTCGCAGCGAGTGTTCCGTGGATTCCGCGGTAGGGTCTTCGCCCAGCGCTGGGCCTTCAAGCGCGCGGAGATAGAGGCTCTTAAGTCTGTCTTACACGAGGCTGCCGTGAACATCCAGAGGGCCTACCGTGGACATCTCGGCCGCGTGGAAGCAACGGAGGTGACGACCAAACCTTCGTTGCGAGGAGGAATCCAGTGTGGGATATTTCATACCCACGTCCTGTGTTTCATGATCATTCTCGGCTTGGTGTGCACTAGACGTGTATCACCCAAATCTTCCTCTCTTCTGTCTATAACGGGATTGACTCCATTGTAAGGAACGTTTCGCACCCCACGGCCTTGCTCGAAACCGTCGCTATTTATTGTCAAACCTACCGAGGAACCACAATATTGCGCCATAGTCAACTGAGAACAGAAATCTCCGTAAATGGCAGTATCTGATCCCCCAACTACGCAGTGTACAGAAAGTGTCGATATCACGCTTGGTGCTTTCCGCTTCCACGGAGTACTTTGGCCGCAAACAATCAATTTGCACCACAACAATGTCGATTCGTGCAACCTCAAGGTGCGCATGGAGTTGGCGGAGTACATCGCGGATATCCGAGTGAAGGAGGCAGAGAGCGACATCGATGATTTCTGGAAGACGCACAAGCTCAAGGCAACCAAGGACGAAGTCAAGAAGAAGCTACTCAACACAGTGGGCCAGCCCCTGCTGGCCCTGCGCAGGAGGAAGCTGCAGTAGGTTCGGCTCATTTGTGTGTCGTGCTGAACTCTACTTCACAACGGGCTGATACGGGCACAGCTCAAGGAAGCGATCGCGCCACGTTCGGCGGGCGGGCTCCACGTAACCAGAATGAAAATCTGAGATCTCTGTTTTGCCGACTCCTGCCGATATGTGGTCTTTTGGATCAACTGATTGAAAATTTACAAAAGGACGTCGTCTGTCAGCGTTCCCACAATGTATGCAGCCTCTCGCTGTTTCATCTCACCACCAAGAAGCTGAAACCCGCGTACAGTAGCTTATGGCCGTAATCTTCACCAGGGCAACGACAAGTACACTGCAGGGGAGTTAAAAAACACTGATACCAGCCTTGGCCATCCTCGCAGCTGTAACAAAGTAATATCGAAACCCCTTACGGTAGTTGTGCGAAGCGCAGCCACGCGTCTTTACAGGATTGACTATATATTCGCTGTGAAGGCCTCCGTAGGCTGAAGTGCCACGATTTCGCGTCTATCTCTCCATTTGCCAACCGCGACGTTGTCAACACGAGATTATAGTGGTCGCCAGTCGGCATGCGTCGCAAAAGGACCCGATATCGCGGCAAACTTGAAGAGAGAGAGAGAGAGAGAGAGAGAGAGAGAGAGAGAGAGAGAGAGAGAGAGAGAGAGAGAGAGAGAGAGAGCGAGCGAGCGAGAGAGATAGAACACTAAGCCAACTGAAAACAATTGAAACGACATGATCTTCCAGGAAGGCATATTTGACGTCGGGCGGCGCGATGACATCAGTTCATGCCGAGAGCTGTTGGATGAAAAGAGAAACGACGTGGGCACCGTAGCGCAACGTCGTCGATCCTAGAGGTCATTGAGGTACAACGTGTGCCGACAGTACGCTGACAGAGATACACTATTGCAAGAACGGCGCTGAGCAAGTTGTACGGTTTTTCGGCTGCATCATCGCCGTCCTTCGGATATTCCGCACATAATTCGTCGATGCACAGCAAGAGACCATCAAGGTCTCCATGGAGGTCCCAAAGAACTGATTGTGGTTGTATCCGGATCTCCATCTTGTCGGTGCTCTCTACATCAGACTGATAGTTTCTTCGATGATTGTCCGCCTATAGATGCTTACCGCTCTTTTATTACCGTGGTTGTAAGGATGGAACAAGAAATATCGATGCGCATAGGGGTTGGTTGTGTGCGAATCTTCATCTCGTCTTTGTCTGTGCTCTTTACACCACAACGCAACGAGTATCGTCGACGTTGCGTGCCTGAAGCTAAAGTAGTGAAGGCTCCATCCAAATGGATAACCCGCCGCCCCAGTAGGTGGCTGTGTGGCAGTACACTCTTGCTTGTGTGAAGTGCTGAAGTGACAACCAGCGATACGCACGTGTAATTCCTTCCTTATTCATAAAAGTCAAACACCAATCAAACAAAGCTACACGAAATAAGGCAGAAACGAAAAAGCAAAGACGCAATGATACCAAAGACAGCACACATACCTTGGCAGCAGTCAACAAGGTCTGCTCACGCAATCCACAAGCCACAGGGCTTGCTGAAGTATCAGGCACAACAAAAAAAAGTACCAAAACGAAGTAAAAGTGCGACCTAACCTGCACCAAGGTGCCAGCGTGTCATCTACCAACAACTCGATGACCACGACACCAAGCTACATGGAGTTTGGAAAAGACACTGAACACGAATCAACGCCATTTGTCGACAATAGTAGGAGAAGCGAGATTCATTCCTCCAGAATCACTCTACAACAATACATTGGAGAAGTGACATTCATTTCTCCGACGTTCATTCAGCGATCGCGAGAAGTGAAATTCCACAAATTCATTCTGCGAGAGGGCCACCGACCAACATGCTGAGATTCCAAGCGGCCCGCCATCTGGAACCATGAAACACCTTGAACCCCCGGGCCAACATTGACAGGTAGGATAGCCACTTTGCGCGGCTCATTTGCAGCAGTCTACTGTATGGGGTTATAGGAATTCCATACATAAACATGCAACAGTACAACCAATATTCTCTTCATTCTATTGCCTTCCGTAAGGCATTCTAAAACCTTCCTCCCCGGTGTTTTGCCATCGGGGTTGGGTTTTGGCCGCTTGGCAACGACGTTGTACAACATGCCGCCCCCCCCGGTGTTTGCCATCGGGGTTGGGTTTTCGTCGCTTGGCAAAGACGTTGTAAAACAAGCCCCCCCCCGGTGTTTGCCATCGGGATTGGGTTTTCGTCGCTTGGCAACGACGTTGTAAAACAAGCCAATTCACTTCGTGAACTCGGCAACCACGTTACCGTTTTTTTTTCCTCGTTTTTTTTTTTTGCGGTACCCATAGTGGTGGTCGAGTAGATCATGTTGTGCGGGGTCGATAACTCTCACTCCGCGCAACGGGGGATGATCGCACCACGTTGTATTAAAATGGTCAAGCGTCCTCGAGGCAGTTACACAGCGCTTACAACTGTCTCTGGAAATGAAAGCACCAGAAAATAAATTAAGTCATACGCCGCTGTCATCCGTACGCAAGGAAGTAAGCAGAAGATGCCGAACACCCTTAGCAGGATGCAGCTCACCCTTCGTGCGACTCGTCGAATACCTCACGGCGCTTCGCGCTTGGTGATGTGAGAGCCTGGTCCGGTGAGAACCCGGCGTGCTCCGTCCCGGCTTTGTAGGGATGCGAGGTCAATGTACGT